GTACTTGTCTTGCCAATTTGGGTTCTACTCCCAGTATCCCATATGGTGCCTGAGTCCTGCCAGGAGTGATTCTGAGCACTGCTGGTGTGTGAAAAGAAAAGAAAAGAAAAGAAAATGGCCATGGGAATAGGAAACAGATAAGTTCAAGGACTGAGCTCTGGGTATCCAATGACTGGAGATATGGACAATGAGAAGTAAATAGTCAACAGAAGTGCCAGTGAGGTGGAATAACTAAGAGAGATGACTGACTCCCACCCTACCCCTATCCAAGGTAAAGAGCACAGAAAAAAGAGAATGCCTCAAGGTGGCAGGGGTGAGTACCTTCCAAATGGTGCTGATAGTTCCAAGTAAGACAACCGATAACTAACCACTGATTAATCAACACAAGGTCATCTGTGACTTTGCCAAGAGTATTATCAGTGAAGGAATCAGGGCAAAACACTTATTGGGATAGATTCAAGAATGAATAAGAAGAAGGGAAGAAGATAGAGTGAATATAAATGAGTTTCTCAAGAAGTTGAAAAGGGGGGCAGAATAACAAGAACAGAGCAACTAGAGAGGGTCATAGTGCCAGGAAGTTTCTCAAACAATGAGAAAATGGTGTGCAGTGTTAATATGCTTATGGGGGTGATTCAGCATAGAGATAAGAATTAATAATATAGAATTGAAAGGGGACAATTTACAGAGTAACAAGTTTGTAAGAGAAGACAGATCCAAAACAAAAGATGAAAAGTTTGATTTAGTTAGAAACAGGGGCAGCTCATTCCTAATATCAGGAGTGAATATAGAGCACAGAGGTCCAGCGTAAGTGCAATGGATTGAATGCATGTGGTCCTTCAAATAGATTTGTTGAAATACTAACCCTATAAGCGATAGTACTAAGATAGTATTAAGAGTTTGGTCCTTTGGATTGTGATTAGGTCACAAGGATAAGTATTCCTAATGGCATTGGTGTTCCTCATAAGAAGGTTTCCAGAGAGGTCATTAGCCTTATTCCCACTGTATAAGAGTACAAGATGACACATCTGCAGCCTGGAAGAAGGACCTTGCCAGACACCGGCCATGCTGGCATGTCCCCCTCCCCCCACCAGCCCTCACAACTATGAGAAACAAATTTATATTGCTTATACATCATCCAAATCATCAAACTCTGTTCAAGTGATCAGAATTAAGATTATTGGTAAACTTGATAGAAGTGATGATGGGAATTTTAACATCTAAAATACTGACCTACTGTCGCAGAGTACAATATTTTAGTCTTATGTATTTAGCAGTAATTTAGCAAAAATAAATTGACAATAAGAAAGCATTTAAAGCATTTTGTATGCGATTTAGCCCTTGCTTTTAATTTTGACCTCTTCAAAGAAAATTGTTGGTTCCCAAATACAATAAAAATGTTTAACAAATCACTTTCGGGGAGGTATGGCCTACCCAGTGATGCTTGGGGATCTGAGAGTCACTCTAACAGTTATTTCGGTTGAAGTTTATCACCTGATGGTTTAGGGAACAGATCCTGTCATGCCATGGGCTACCAGGACCACCCCCCACGGTGCTCAGGGCCATGTAGTGCTAGGTATCTAAACTTGTGAAGCATGTACTCCATCCCTTTGAGCTATATCCTCGTTCCTCCAAAGACATGGAGCTAAGTGCTTGCTCCTGATTCTGTGCTCAGGGATCACTTCTGGTAGGACTTGGGGAACCATATGTAGTAACAGGGATTGAACTGAAATCAGCTACATGCAAGGAGAGAGCCATAATTCCTATACTATCTCTCCAGCCTCTCACAGATTATTTTTAAGAAACAGTTTTAACTTCTTAAAATTTTCATACTTTTTCAAAACAACAATGATAGTAAAGAAAAGTTTTAATTATTAGAAAAAATAAAAAATTGCCAGGACTCTGATGAGACCTGGTGTTAGGAATGTATGAACTTCAACTCTCTTATATAAAGGCAGATATGGCCTTGGGATTATATGGAAGTTAAATTAATCTCTTAAAATTTGAATTGCTTTTGCTATAAACTAAGGATAACCTCTGCCTTAAAGGATCATGGTGAACTCCAAATAAGGTAAATTAGATAAAGCTCTTGGAAAATAGTAGGTTCTAAAAAAATTATGTCTATATTACTGAATCTATAGCTTCAAGCCAAATGTGATGAAATAAAACTGGAAATAAGAAGTAAAGTTCAAAGATCGGTGTGGACTGGAAAGATAGCTCAATGTGCCACATGAACTACTAGAGTGATACCATTGAAGAACAAACTGTTACAAATAAGGTAAAAATGTTATTCTGTTTCACTTCAAAGTTATGTCCCAAGCATTAAAAGCATTAACTGTGGTGCACACTCAATATGCTACATAAATCCAAATTCTTGTATTTGAATTTTACCTCTATTGAAAAAGTATGGTGAAATCAGGGTGCCTGTTCCCAGAGCTGCTTGTTCTCTAGGGAATTAATCTCTAAATACAGAAAAGAGCAGGAAATCTGAAGTGTTTGAAATAGAAATAGTTTGTGTTTAATGAATCATAAGTTTGTGACGAACTTCAGCATTAGAAAAGTGTTTTCTGAATAGAAAAATGTTTTTATATTTAAAATGTTCCTCAGACTTTACATTGCTTTACCACTCGGAAGGGAGAAGCTGGTCAGGCTTCAAGGAAAGGTGACTTTAAACTTGTCAGCATTAACTAGCAACTACTTTTAAGATGGCCATTTATCAAGGCCTAGAATGTTGCCAACAACCCAAACTGAGAGTAGATTGTGTAGTTGTGTTTATGCTTACATCTCTCAATGCAGTATGTAATCATTGTAATTTGATTCCACATTTATCAAACATGTGGGAATACAAAAATTAATGCTTTGGGCTTGAGCTATATAGTACAGCAGGTAGGGCAATTGTCTTGCATGAGGCTGACCCAGGTTCTTTGATTACCTGCATATCAGGAATGATCCCTGAGCACAGAGCCAGGAGTAAGCCCTGAGCACCTCTGGATGTGCTCCCACTCCATTTAACCCCCCCCCCAACCAACAAAATTAATGCTTTCACACCTCAGTGGTACATAAATGTTGCTCCCAAAAGGTAAATTTAGTAATAACCTTCCTCCTCTGACTACTTTCCTTAGCCCTCTCCCTTAAATAAATGCTGCTTAAAGAATTCCTTCTGATTATCGTTAGTAAATCAAGACTGAAGCTGCCTCAGTTGGGCTCGTTTTACAGTCTAGTCTATTTAAAGGTGAAAGTGTAACTGATGGTTTCAGGGGAAATCTTGTCTTAAGTAAGGGTGTACAGCGTGCAAGTAACATTTCTGCTCCGGACACTTGCTCTTTTTAGCCCTATAAAGTCAAATAAAGACAAGCCTCCTTCTAAGGCTTACTGGATTACGCTCTGATAAGAAACGGAAATGTTTGGCAACCAAAGCGGTTGACACAAAGGCGGCCAAATAAACTGGGATGATGCTTTTCAGATGATATGACAAAAACCATGCCAAGTAAAAAGACTGACATGATCGCTCTAGGTTGAAATCGTGTTGTTCCGTCTGATTGTGCTACTTTTGGAATCGTCTAAACGCTGAGCCAGTGTCCTGGTTTTTTCGTTTGTTTGTTTGAAAACAGCATTAAACAACCAGTTGTGGATCACTTTACCAACACCCACTCAGGTGAGTTTACGTGGCGTACAGTGGAAGAAAGGATTGCACTTAAAAAGGTTTCTGACTAAAGGCATTTTACTAAACCTCACGAAGGCCAACCGAAATGTAATACGATACGAATCCAGGGCAAAGAACGAGAGGTTATTCCAGACGCTGGTCCCCAGGTCACTCGGGAACCCCCAGCTCATCATCTCAGCGCTGGTGGCCCCACAGCAGTGAGGTGACAGCAGCGGGCAACGCGGGAAGTGACCAGGTGCCCGTTCGAGGGGCAACCCCTTCCGAGGGGCCGTAAGGACAGGCTGCGGGGGAGAGGCCCGCAGCACCGCAAGGGCGGGTCGGGCCCCTGCAAACTGCCCCCCACTTTGAGGACCCAAGTTGCGAGAAGGCGCGGAGAGGAATCCCGCGGGGAAGAGCGGAGACCGAGCGGGCGGGAGAGGCGGTGTCCAGTCCGCGGGGTCAGCGCTGCCCGGAGCCGAGGGGGAGCCGGGCGGCAGAGGCGGGGGTGCGGAGGGAGGAGCGGAGGGGCGAGGCGCCGTCGCCAACCCCCTCCCCTCCCTTCCCCTTCCCGGCGGCGGGCACTCGGGCGCATCCCGCCGAGGCCGGGCCGCTCCAAGGGGAGGTGCCAACTCGACGCAGCTCTTGGGCCCCGGGTCGAGCAGTAACGGCTACCCAGGAGGCGAAGCGGACGCGGCTCGGGCCTGCGCTAAAGTAAGGGGCTAGCGGGGAGGTGGCGGAGAAAGGAAAAGAGGGGGGCGCCGGGCATGCAGCAGTCCGCTTTCGGGTCCCCAGCTGCGGGCCACTCCGGCCCCGCCCCCGCGGCCCGAGCTCCGGGGCGCGTGGACCGCCGAGGAGCTGGGGTGGGTGGGGGTGGGGGGAGCGGGAGGGGACAGCCCCACTCGAGTAGCGGGCCTGGGCTCCTCCGCGCCTGCGCAAACCCGTCCGCGGGTTGCCGGCGCCGGGCTCCCGGGGCTGCACACACCTTCCCCGGCGGCGCGCGGGGCGGTGCTGCGCGTGCGCAAAGCCGCGGGGCAGGGGCCGGGCGCGCGCGCGCCTCGGGGTGTTGATCCTGGACCCGGGGGTCCTGGGGCGCTGCTCCCGCGCGCGGAGGTGGCGCGTTCGGGGCCGGAGGCTTCTCGAAGCTGCCCCGCCGTCCGGGAGCTGCCGGCGGTTTGGGAAGGAACCTGGCCTCCGGGTTTAACCTTCCTCCCACTCCCCGTGGGCAGCTGATGTTTGCGCTGGTGTCGCCAAGACCCTGAGCTCCTGCTCGAAATATGTATCCAACCCTGTTCCCGATCCCTGAACCGACGTGCTAAGTTTTTTTTTTTTTTTTTTTTTTTTTTTGCTTTCGGCATTTGGACCTGGGATTAAGGGACACAGAGCAGAAAAGTTGACTAAAGCTAGGCGATGCTGTTCTGGAGCGGCGGTGGAGGGATGGGGTGAAATCGTCACAAATGCTTGAGCCGGAAGACATTGTTCTGCTTAGCCCCGGAAATAAGAGGTTTTCAGACGCTGAAAACTTTCCGAGAGTTCCACCTTGGCCGAGAAAGAACTTCCTGCCTGATTTGGAAGGCGAGTTCCGAGTGAACCGTTTGCTTTGGTCCTTTGGGAAATTACATGCAAGGTCGGGACCAGCTGAGTGCAGCGCTGTAACCATATGCATGTCGTAGAGCTGCTTGGTCCGCGCCTTGTTCTTTGTCAGAGTTGAATAAAAACTGGTTGAGTTCACATAGTGCTGTGGCACCCGAGACTCGCAAATGGCAGTCACTATTGCATTTTTGTTTAGCCTCTTTGACATTGCATCTGTCTAGTACGAAGTCCCTGCTTGGCTTTACTTCTTTCTGGTCAGTGGTACTGATGTCAGTCTTGATTCCCAAGGCTTGAAATGCGCTTGATGTCGTCACTACTGTGCGCCTTTGCATCTTCAATGATGTGCTGGTTTGGGCCTGCAATAGAGTAGCAGCACTTAGTATCTTGAGACTCTGAGCTCTTTAGGTGTGAAATGTGATCTCCTTTCTGGGGCACTGTAACCTACTGTAATAAAGATAAAGGTAATTGGTATTCTTGCACACCCATTCACACTTTGCAGACCTTTTTGTTCTTGCCGAGATGCTAATAGACCTTCATCCTATGCATTTGCTATTTCCTCTGTGCACAGAGCTGAGTTGTCTCCTCCACCAGAACCTGCCTTGCAGCGAAGTCTCAAAGCAACTGTCATCTCTTCAGAGAAGTGACTCCCTCAATCTAAAATAGTCATTGCACTGGAACTCTAACTTTGTAGCACATATCACTAACAAAACTATGTCTTTATGTGTGTATGATGTCTTTCCCATAACTTAAGCTTAGTAGATATTTGGTAACTATACAAATTAAATTAGAACCTGACTCCAGTAGTATTTTGTCCTAAACTCTCAAGTAGATCCATTTATTCATTCAGCAGACATGTGAGTTCTTCCTTAATTTCTATGTAAGTTCTCTTTAAGTGCATCGAATGTCACTGAACCAAACATCCCTTCCTTCTAAAATTTAAATTCTAGCAAGGCATATTTAACTAATGAATGTAGCTAATTATTTGAAAATTACAAATGCTATAAAAGTGGTGAAAAAGGAGGTGCACAGAGAATATACTGGAGCCTGGGGGATGGATGTAACTCAGCAGGAGGGAATTTGCATGTCTGTGGACGGGATCCCAGAATCCTGTTAAAAGAGGGGGGGAAGAAGGAGGGCAGTGTTAATTGAAAATGTTGATCAGCTGACTCTGTTGACTGAAGGATGAACTGTAGTTGATGTTCAAGATGAATAACTGACTTTTAGAATTTCCTGTCTTCTGAGAGAAAATGTCCTTTGCCATTCTCTAATGTCTTTTATACTCTCTAAGACCCATAGAATGGCCTTCATGACCAATGGAACTATCCATTAATAGGGCATCGGTGAAAAATAATCTTCCCAATAGAGTTTTACCTTATTCAGAATTTTACAATTTAAAATTGTTAGGAGACTGTGCTCTTTAGTAGAAGATACAAAAGGGGTGTTTAGAAAAATATTTTCTTCACTTTGTACAGCATATTTCAATTGCCTGCATGGTGTACCCTCCGTGAATGACTAGTGATGTTCTTTTCTAAGAAGTAAGGTCACTATTTTTTATCTGAAACAGTACAGAAGGTACAACTGAATCTGATGTCATGCTTTAGATGTATGGGTCTTAGAGATTTCTCAATGAACCAGACAAGCCTAAAATTTTACCTTATAAGTAAGGATGTTTAGAGAAAGATAGTGAAGAGAAAGTTTAGAAAGTGAAATGCTTTTTTTATGTCCTTTACTTAGGCGAATTGCACCAAGTGTATAAAACTGTTCATCTAGAATCATAAATGTTCATAAATGTAGGGTGTCCATGAGATTTGCTTATGCCTTTAAGAATTTGCCAAATTTAATTTCAGCTCTATCACATTTCTAAATTGCCCCTAAAAGACCACTACTTTTTGAGGTTCATTGAAGTTGAAATACTATGTTAAATTTGACAAGCAAAGAGAGATTTGAGACCAGGAATGAAATTCTTGGTGTTGCAGAGTGACATCAGAGACTCCTGTTGAAGGCTGAAAATAGAGGGTCACATGGGAGATCTAGTTCAAAGGAAAGGAGAGCTTGTCTCCCTGAAAGGGTTATGCATCGTATCCTTCAGAGGAAAGTGGTTCTGAGCCATCTCACTTTCTTTATCTGGAAGGAGTATGTGTCTGATTCACATGTGATACTCCTTTTAACAATGTGGTAGTCCCAGGAAATTTAAGGCATAGTGTTTTGGGTTTTGTTGTTTTAAATCTGACGTTGGAATAGGTTTTCTCTCTATCTTTAGCCTTGGTAATCTAACCTTGGCTCATATCTATAATATTTCTTCTTTTGTAGTCTAGCAGTTATAACTATCAGTATGTTTGTTGGAATATCTTTTATATTTGAGAGTGATACTTCAGTCGTATGACTGTTAAGAACATCGATAAGCTCAGTAATTTCTTCAATGTAAAAACAACTTGTTTTGTACCAGGTATCTTCTTGGTCAATCATGTAAAAACATGAAAAATAAAAGTCAGTTTGCTGTTATCATGAACACAGAAATAACACTTCATCTTTGTTTGCAGTTCAGTTTCATTTATGCTTTAGGTTTTTAGTTTTTCATCTTGCTAATAATCCAAGACAGGTATAGGTATTCTGCTGTTATTCTTGACTTATATATGATTCAAGTAGAGCTATATATATTTTTTGTTTATTTGTTTTGTTTTTTTGGTCCATACCCAGTGGTGCTCAAGGGTTACTCCTGGCTCTGCCCTAAGGAATCACTCCTGGCAGGCTCAGGGAACCATATGAGATACCAAGGATTGAACCTAGGTTGGCCAAGTGCAAAGCAAGTGCTTTATCCTCTATACTATCTCCCTGGCCCCTTAAGTGGAGTTATATTATAGCTGCTACACTTGTTTACTTTTTTCCATCATAATTTGGATCATGTTTTATTTTACATTATATTCATACATATATTATTTATAGGTTATAAATGACACTAAAATTCTATTGCAGATTCCATTTAATGACTCTGCTAAGCATATAAATAAAAGTCATTAATAACTTAATATTTGTTTAGTCTGGAGTTCATTAATATTAATTCCATGTTAACTGTGCTGGTGATCTAAAAGATACTGATTTTCTTTAATATTTTATTTCTTTTATTTAAAAAAGTCATCAACTGTATTGCCCAGATGAGAAAATCTATAGAAGTACTGAGTTCTACAGGCTGGAGTGATAGAATACTGTGGGCAGGGCCTTGCATGTGGCTGACCAGGGTTCAATCCTCTGCACTGCATATAGTACCCTGAGCCTTGCCAGGAGTGATCCCCGAAGAGCCCTTAGCACTGCTGGGTGTGGCCCAAAAATAAAAATATGGGAAGGGATTGAGCAATAGTACAGCAAGTTGGTGCTTGTCTTGGATGTGCCTGATCCAGGTTTGATCCCTGGTACACATTTTGGTTCCCGAGACATGCCAGGAGTGATCTCTGAGTGCAGAGCCAGAAGTAATCTTTGAGCCCAGCTATGCATGATCCAAAAACAAAAAAGAAAGGACAGAGGGAGAAAGAGAGGGAGGGAGAAATTACTGAGGCCTGCAACAGAATGGAACATATTTTTTACGTGTAGCTGACCTGAGTTTGGTTCCAGTGCCGCATAGTTCCCTGAGCACTGCTGATAGAGAACCCTGAGAACCAAACTGTGAGTAACCCCACTTGATAAAGTCATTGAGTTGAGTATTACAAGAAAATATCTCATGGGGGGCATGCACGGAGGTACTCAGGGACTATCTCTGTCACAATGCTGGGGAACCACGTGGTGCCAAGAATCAAACCTGGGCCTCCTGTATTAAAGCATATATTCCAGCCTGTTGAACTAGCTCTTTAGTCCCAGAAAATATTTTTGTGTTTCTCAAGCGTAGTTTTAGAGTTGGGTGATGTCATTCAAGATAATTTTAAAAATACATAATAAGGAGGAAGGAGGAAAGGAAAATTTAAAATAAATAATTGCATTCTCTGTAGAAATTTCTCTTTACCTTTTTCATCTGGGGACACATTTCAAGAATCATTTCAGCATTTGGAAGCTTTTGATTAACTGTGATATGTCCATTTTCATGAAAGTGCTTTTGTCTCATAGACATGGTGTGTCTAGTTTATTAAGTATTAAAACCAGTTAAGTGTCTCTGGACAAAGGTGATGTAGCCACACCCTAAAAACTGGATCTCCTTGACTTCGCATTATTTTTTTTTCTTTCAGGTATTTGTCTTCAGCTTAGTGCCTACTGCAGGGGCAAAATCAATATTTGTTAAGTAAACTAGGAAAATGATTGCATATCCTGAAATCAGCTTAACTCATTATATAGGTCATCTGTATTAGCACCAAGTATGATGCCTTGTCATATTAGCAGACACAGTGATTAATACTAATTACCAGCAATAATATGTAGAGGCTGCCAATTTTATTGTTTGTTCAGGAAAATGAGTTATTTGTTCTGTGAGAATATTAGTAGTGATGTATTTATGATGGTCAGTTATCAAGTTACTGTTCTTAGGGCTCACTAGTCTTCACTGTCACTGTCACTGTACTCCAGTTGTTCATCGATTTTCTCGAGCGGGCCCAGTAATGTCTCCTTTCTGAGACTTTGTTGTTACTGTGTTTGGCATACCGAATATATCACGGGTAGCTTGCCAGGATTTGAGAAAATCTTAAAAGTACATCATAAAATAATGAGTTATTTGGATAATTTGGAAACAAAACTATACAAGTTTAGGAAAATAACAAAATTAGGAAATGTCATGTTAAACATTATGTTGGTTAACATGCAGTTGGTTTTGAAAATTATTCTTAAAAAACTTGAAACCTTGGCCTTCAAGTGTTTATTCTAAAGGCAGTGATCAGTGGGAGGAGTTCAGCTATGAGAAGATACTTAGCCCCCCATCTTCTTTTACATTGCAAGACAAATGTCAAGATAATAATAAGACTGTAAAATATGGAATAATACCATAGAGATTTTTTAAAATTACATTTAAAGAAAATGAGGAGATGCATAAGAAATTATGTTGCAAAGCACAAATCATTTCTTAAGCTGAGTAATTAACTCTGTGAACTAAGTTGTAGACCCCAGAATACTTAGAAAGGAAAAAAACCAATAAAATACAGTGTGTTCTGGGTATGGTCTTAAGTTGTGACATGATCGCTATGAAGATATTTCAGTACAAATGCCTGCCCCTGACTTGGGGCTACAGGAACATTGTTCTCCTGCTCAAAAAAGGAAGATATTTGTAAATAAATTCAGATCAAAAAGGAAAGCAGGTTTTTGCCATTAGTGTAAACAAAAAGCAAACTTTTTAAATATTTTCTTCTATGGCTTTTCGAATATTATATTTGATCTATGCCATTTCTTTTCCTTTGATACTGGTATTTTTATTTTTGCAAAGACAAAATTGTGTTTTGAGTTGTCATTATAAAACTTTTATTCATTTACTATTGCCTTTTTTTAAGGCTTAAAACTTTAAATCTTAAAATTTTTATTTAAGCTTAAAACTATGAAAGGCGTCAGTTGGAAAGGATAAGTCATAGCACTTCTCTGATAGAATCCCAGTGTGGATTTTATCTTTAGAGTTACGTACTTCTGTCCAGGTGGCAGCTAGGGAGTCTGGAGGGAACTTGGGAACAATGGTGGAGGGAAGCTGACACTGGTGATGGGATTGGTTCTAGAACATTGGATGTTTATAACCTAACTTTCAATAACTTTGGAAATCATGGTTCTTCAATAAAATAAATTGTTTTTAAATAACATGATAAATTCTGTGGTGAACTTGTAGTTTTGCTTTTATCTTTTAATATCTTATTTTGTTTTTGTTTGGGGGCCACACCCAGCGGTGCTCAAGGCTTACTCCTGGCTCTGTGCAGAAGGATCACTCCTGGCAGGCTCAGGGAACCCTGGAACTGTATGGGGTGTCAAGAATCAAACCCTGGTTGATTGTGTGCGAGGCAAGCATTCTATCTGCTATACTATCCCTTCAGCCCCAGCATCTTTTATCTTTTATATTTGTGAATCTTTTGCCCATATTAAAATTGAATTTTTTTTCTCACAGATTTTTTTTTTTTCATGAGACACCATGAGGTACAATTGTAGACTTACAAACTTTCGTGCTTGGATTTCAGTTAATACAATGATTGAGTACCGATCCCTTCATCAGTGCCCATTCTCCACCACCAATGAACCCACCACCAATGAACTACCACCCCCCCCAATCCTGTCCCCCCCACCCTGCCCCACCTCTGTGGCAAGGCATTCCCTTTTGCTCTCACTTTTCTTTAGGGTGTTGTGGTTTGCAATAGAGGTATTGGGTGGCCATTTTTCTCACATATTTTTAATTATTCTTTGTATTTTCTGAATAGTAGTACTTTTCCAGATTTTAGTTATATATTTTGAAAATATTTTCTCCCATTTCATGCCTTCTCCCATTCCCCCCTTTGTCTGTCTTGTATGATGCCAAAGCTTTAAGCTTTAATGCATTGACACTGGTGCTTCCTGCCATTGATGGCCTCACTCAAATTTAATTTTAATTATCAGGAATTGCAGTACCAGGGTCAATGTGTTAACAGAGTGACATTTACTAGATTTTCCCTTGTATTTTTTGATGCTGGATCTTATTTAAGGAATCTTTCCATGCCCTGAGGTTTAAAAAAAAGAAGAAGAAAACATTTTCTGTACTATCTTGAAAAACTTGGAAAGTTTTGCTTTTATTTTTCAAATCCCATGTGGTTTTCTCAGCCTTTTCCATTTGCAGTGCTACTGCTAAAAACTTTAGTATGTGTGGTTTCATGCTTCAAGCGTCCAAATTGTTGAAATTGCCTCCTAAATTTAAAAAGTATCTTGCCCGCACGGCAAAGCCTGGCAAGCTCCCTGTGATGTATTCAATATGCCAAAAACAGTAACAAGCCTCACAATTTGTTATGAGACGTTACTGGTGCCCACTTGAGCAAATTGATGAACAAAGGGAGGACATTGTTACAGTGATATATTTTATAGTAGCACTGTCCTCCCATTGTTCATTGATTTGCTCTAGCGGGCCCAGTAACATCTCCATTGTGAGACTTGTTGTTACTGTGTTTGGCATATCAAATGCGCTACAGTAATGAATTCAAATTTCACATAGATAAGTGAACAGATTTTTTTTAAACAAAGAATTTCCATAAAGAAATGGAAATGTCAATACTTGCTTCTTTGATTGATTAGCCCAAAACAGTTAAAACTAAATTAAACACTAAAGCATAAAATAAGAAAGTATAAAATATGCATAAGGCCAAATAGGGTAAACATTTCTTGACACCAGTCTTACAGCTTCAGTTCCAATGGCAAGGAAACAAAACCCGTATCAAACAAATAACTTAAAAAAAATATTTCTGCAAGGCACAATCACACACAGATTATTATCAAAAGATTCATCACTCTAAAAATAGAAGAGTATGAAGTTGTAAGAAGATATGATCATTCAGATTTTCACTAGGTTGATAAACTGAGGGCATCTTCCTGAGTGAAGTCAATCTGAAGGAGAGGGCAGAAACAGAACAATCTCTCTCAGATATGGGGTATAAAGCTACATGGCAACTAATGACAAAGACAAAAAATGTGGACAGTTGGTCTATAGAACTGACCTTACCTAGCAAAGAGGAAGTAGGTGGACAGTAGTTTGTCTTTGGGAAAATGGTGGAAGGAACTTGGCACTCTGATGGTGTGGGTGGTGCTATTTTATAGTATTTTAATTAATTATGTAACTTTTTAGAATAGTTGAGTACCTCTGTCATTTTTATAATACATAGAGCTGACATAATTTTTATTTAATTTGCTTTTTTTCTTTTGTTTTGAATTAGTACTCAGGGACTAATTTCAGCTTGGCACTCAGTAGTGGCTCTAGGCAGTGCTCGGGGGATGGAGCAATTCGGAGAATAGACTCTGGTCCTCCTCTGTGCAAAGCATGCACTGAGCCTGTTGAGCTGTCTCTCCAGCCTCCTGATATAAATTTTAAACTGTATTTTTCTTATGTAAACAACCCGTTATCATTAGAAGATGGTATATTCTTGTTCTTCTCTGTTCTCTAATATAGTTTTATGTGTTTATATTTCAGTCTCAATAACCTATTCTAGAAGCCAACTTTTACACAGATCTAGAAGAAATGAGATTAAAGATGACCAGACAGCGGACTCCAGAAATTTGAAACAATCAGGTACAGAAATTTTAAGAAAGACTGTTTCATTCAAACAGTGTAAAATAAAACTGCTTATAATCTACACAGAAAAACTTTTTTTTCAAATCCATAAGCTAATTTATTGGTAGGAGAGATGTCCAGAAAATTTTTAAAAAATACCTGCTTACCAGGAGAGAAACAAACAATCAGGGCTTTGGAATTAATCTCAGATTCAGATATTGACTCTGTCCCTGATTGACTGGCAATTAATGATCAAGTTATTGAAACATGTCTGTAAAATGAAGGTAGTCGTTTTACCTGTTTCACTTAAATATTATAAAAAATAAATAAGATAATATCAGTCTCTTATCTCAGAGTAATGTGTAACTATTGTTGTGGTTGATGGGGCAATAGCACAGCAGGTAGGGCGTTTGCCTTGCACGCAGCCGATCTGGGTTCGATTCTGCTGTCCCTCTTGGAAAACCTGGCAATCTACTGAGAGTATCTAGCCTGCATGGCAGCGTCTGGCAAGTTCCCCGTGGCGTATTTGATATGCCAAGAACAGTAACAACAAGTCTCACAATGGAGACGCTACTGGTGCCCTCTCGAGCAAATCAATGAACAATGGGAGGACAGTGCAACAGTGCTACTGTGCTATAGATATATGATTCTGTATATTATTATACATTTGAAAAGTACTTATCATAACACTATATTTCTAATAGCCCATTAAATAATACATATAAAGGATAATAAAACTATAATCCTAATATACTCTGCAGGGTATATTCCTCAAGTAATATAAATTGGGGAAGCTATACATGTATCACGTTAAAGAATAATCTTTGTTGAGCAGGGGGTGGCTCTGTGCTCAGGAATCAATTCTGGTGAGCCAAGGGAGACCATATATGATGACAAGGATGGAACCCGGATTGGCTGCACGTAAGGCAGGCACTCTGCCTGCATACTGTCCTCCTATCAAAGAATGTTAAAAATCAAAGTATCCAATCATCTTCTACATCCTAGAGAATTCAACAAGTTTTTCATTATACTGTATAATAGTACTAATATGGAATTATTTTTGAGTCACAAAAAACCTTATGACCAGCACAAAAAATTAATTTTACATTTAGTGTTAACAAATATTTCTATTTCTTTGAACTTGCCAAGTTCAACATGCAGTTGTACCTTAACCTGATTAGTCAAATGGAAGGACCTGTTTTCCACCATTCTAATGTTTAAAGAGTTATAACACTGAAAAGAGCTATTTACTTTGCTCCTTAAAAAGCCCATGCTTTGGGTCCAAAGCAATAATGCGGTGTAGGTAGGGAGTTCTGCATGTGGCTGACACGGAACCCTGGCATTCCATATGGTCACCTGAGCACTGCCAGGTGTGGCCCAAAAACAAACAAAAAGCCCATGCATTTAACATATTGATATCATTTCCCTTCTATTGGGAACAAAGATGATCTAATGTACAGTAAGGAGCACTTATTTCTACTTTGGTCTTTGTTTATTTCCTCTTGGTGTGTGTGTGTGTGGGGGGGGGTGCTTTAAATCTTCTTTCTCTGTATATCTTTTCTCTTCCCCTTCCTTAAAAAAACTTTTAAAAAAATTATTCCAGAAAAGTTTGGGACAGACAAGGAAAACTTATTTTTTGTTAGGATGAGACCGAAAAAAAAAAAAAGAGAGAGAAAGAGACTGATCTTTCTATATTGGCAGTCTCCAGTATACAAAAAGCTAAGAACAAGGGTGATTTCAACAAATATGTTCCGCTCTAAGTCCTGTGCTATGGTAATTCTAGAAATGAGTAAGTTATTATATTATAAGGACTTTGCAAATTAATAAAGAAAGAAGATCATGCAAGAGTAACTTTCACGTAAGACAGGGAAAGTGCTGTCAGCGAAACATTTAATAAGTGCAGTGGAAATGCAGAGGAGTGATCCCAGCCCATTAGAATAGGGAGCCTTATCAATTTGAAACGCAGTGAAAATCATTCTCAGTTTTAGAGAACAATTAGGATCTTAACAGATCTGATAAAAGTGTTGTAAGGGTTAAATATAATAAATTATCTTTTTATATTGGTATCTGGATCAGTTTCATAAATATATTAATTTTTAAATGAGAAATAATTTTCATTTTTAAGTGTAGCACTGTAGTACTGTTCTCCCATTGTTCATTGATTTGCTCGAGCGGGCCCTGTAACGTCTCCATCGTGAGACTTGTTGTTACTGTGTTTGGCATATTGAATACCTCACGGGTAGCTTGCCAGGCTTTGCTGTGCGGGCGAGATACTCTGGGTAGCTTGCTGTCCTCTCGGAGAGGGGCAGAGGAATCGAACCCGGCTCGGCCGGGCCGGCTGCGCGCAAGGCAAACACCGTACCGCTGTGCTATCACTCAAAAATAGCATGGCATTTTAAGTGATCCTGTGAAAAACAAACATATCTTTGAAATCTTAAAAATAGTTATAAGTGTTCATTCCACAGTTTAAGTTTTAATTATTTTGAATATATTAGTATTCTTTGTGGGCTGGAGCGATAGCACAGCAGGTAAGGTGTTTGCCTTGCATGCGGCCGACCCAGCTACCGAGAGTATCTCTCCCACACAGCAAAGCCTAGCAAGCTACCCATGACATATTCGATATGCCAAACACAGTAACAACAAGTCTCACAATGGAGATGTTACTGGGCCTGCTGGAGCAAATCGCTGAACAATGGGAGGACTGTGCTACAGTGCTATAGTGTTACTATTCCTTATATACTAAGAGACCTTTTTTATAGCTGAGGAGGAAAAATAGTGGCTTCAAGGACATACAATACATTGATAAGAAATATTCTTAAGACTATCATATTTTTGTTTTGTTTTCTTTTTCTTTGGGGCCATACCCGGCAGTGCTCAGGACTTACTCCTGGCTCTGCACTCAGGGATCACTTCTGAGGGGCTCAGGGAACCGCATAGGATACGAGGGATCAAAACTGGGGTGCTAGCATGCAAGGTGAGCTCCCTGCCCACTCTACTAACTCTTCGGCCCCAGACTTAATCTTATTTTGATTATTGTTTTTTTCTGTCTGTCATATGGCTCAATTACTTACACTCTCAGACAAAATGTTCTGCTGTTTGTACTTGAAGTATGAATTTTATCTAAGTGAGTATATTACAACCAAGCAAATTAGGAAATAAAAATCCATTAGGTGCAATTTTATTAAATTGTTCTCAGTGAGAGAAATAATATTTGTATTTCCTTTTTGGGATGAAATAGTTAATTTTATAAGAACAGATCCACAGTCTGTTTGTACATTGTATCTTCTGGTAGGGCTGCTTCTGCTAGACTACATGATAGAAAGCAATTACTGTGAAAATGGTTATTATTCCTGCAAAATGGTTATTATTAAAATAGTCAATTAAGACAAAAACACTCAGCACTGATGCTGATGCCTAATCGTAGTTGTTTCAGGTTTTTTTGTTCTGGCCTAGAACAGTGTTTCCCAAAGTAGGTGATACCACATCCCCCCACCTCTGAGCCCAAAGTGGGTGCCAAAACACTCCATTGGGGGCAGTAGTAGTGGTAGTAGTAATAGTAGTAATAGTAGGTATATTGGGAATTGCGTTTTCTGTTTTTTTCACTTAAAAAATAGTTTTCCAGGGGGTTCTGAGTGATTAGAAGATTATTTTTGGTTTTTGCACCGTACTTTCTGGTTCTCAGGACTTATTCTTTGCTTTGGACTGATCATTCTTTGCTTTGATCATTCTTGACTGGGCTCAGGGGACCATATATAGTGCTGGGGATTGAACCTGATCAGCTTCAGGAAAGGCAAGCAGCTACCTTACACTCTGGACTATTTCTCTGACCCATGTTGAGTGATTTTCTTTTTCCTCTTAAAATGAAGATGGTAGAACTACAAGTTTGGGAACCTCTGTTCTAGAATTATAAAGTCATATTCATTCATTTCCATTTTTTCATCCTTTTCATTCATTCTTCCCTTTTTTTTCAGTTAGCAAATTATATGCTCTTCACTGGAGCTGAGAATTGATAAGTCTGCTTTTCACAGTGATTTGGAATTTTCCAGTTTCAGAGAAAAATTGACGAAGGTCTACAGCTTATTTTTCTTTATCTATGGGAAGTCAATTCTGAAATCTAGTCTTTATTTTTTTTATGTCTATATATATAAAGAATCTATGTTTATCCTGGGATTAGTTTTCCAGACTTCAGCAGGAAAATTCCTATTAAGAGAGCATGTGGTCATTTCTGCACAGTTATACACCTTTGGGGTTTTATGACTCTTAACTCCCGTGCATAAAACTTAATTCCCTGTTATTTTCTTCATCATATTTGTTTGGAGATGTAAGTTTTAAAAAATAAAGTCTGCTACCTTTTCATATAATTCCCTTCACACTTTTCTCCTATTCGCCATGATTTATCCTATAGTAATAGTAGTTTTTGTTTTCAATGTCTACTGTTTTTTTTCAAATTTCATTTGACTGTTCAGAAATTTCATATACTTAAAAACATGTATGAAATTATGCAGTCCTTGCCTTTTTCCTTCTGACTTATTTCTCTTTGCATAATCTCTTTGAGTGTCTTTTCTGCTACAAATGGCAAATTTTATTAATTTTTTTGTAGTACTGGAAATTGAGCCCAGTTCTTGTGCTTTCGAAGCATGTACTTTATAACCAAGCCACATCCTTGGCCCTCATCTTTTTTAAACAGTTGTATAGTATTCCATTGTATAAATGTACCACGTTTTTCTGCAGCCAATAGACAAATAAGTGGTTTGGTTGGTTTCATATTTTAGCTATTATTAATAATGCTAAACATTGAGGTGAATATAGCATTTCACCTCAATATGATTTCATTTTTTGGGTTTATTCACAGGAGTAGGGATTTCATGTTCATATGGTAGTTCAATTTTTACCTTATAGAAGAAGCTTCATATTGCATTCCAAAATGGTTTCACTAATTTGTATTCTTACCAACCGTGCATTAGGGTTTCTTTTCGTCTCCACTGTCTCAATCATTAGTGTTGTCGCTTTGGTAGAAGTTAGTATCACAGGCATAAAGTGATACTCCTTGTGTTTTGTTTTCATTTTTAATAGGGACCCCTTCCAGCAGAGCTTGTACCATTCAGCTTGCTTGGTCTGTGGGGATGGGATAGGAATGCAGTGCTGTAAGGTCAAACTCAGGGCCGTGAGCATGCAAGGCGTGTGCTCTACCACTTGAACTAACTTCTAGGTCCCCTACTGTAGTTTTAATTCGCATTTTCCTTATAACTGAATCTTTTTATATGTCCTTTGACCATCTGATTGTCCTTTTCAAGAAATACTTAATCAAATCTTCTGCCTAGTTTGTTTTATTAGATTTACTTTTTTCTGTTGTGTTTTATGATTTTTTTCATATTTTAGCTATTAACATCTTATCAGAGGTGTGATTTGCAAATGTTTTCTCCCATTCAATAAGCTGTTTTTTTTAAAAAAAATTATTTAAGAAATTGTATATATTTTTTTAACTTAGTCGTATACTAAATTCCTCCCCAGCTGGAGAATTTCTTTTTCTTTCCTTCTACTTTCCAGTAAGTCTCTCTATTGAAAAAAATATATATTTTTGTCTATTCATAGTTTCTTCTGTTCAGAAACTTTTCAATTTTTCTACTCCTGGTTGTTATATTTTCCTTGAAGTTAGAATCCCTAAAGATACGTTATGTTATGCGGATGATATGGTACATTAAACCTATGCACTTTTTGATTTTGGGTGGGTCCTTTTATCCAAAAGTAAATTAATTTAAATATGCCTAGTTTCATTGGATATGTGAGAGCTTGATTTTACCACATGCTTTTTTCCTCAGGAACTGCAAGGACTGAGTCCATATGGAAGAAGAGCTTCCCCTTTTCTATGGCGAAAGTGGCAAGGTTAGAAAAACCTCTTGGAGCATGTATTTCTGTAGCATGAAACGTACTTCATCAAACATTTATTGGTCATCTGATAGGAAGATCAGTGAGATTTATCTATGATCACAGGAGCTCACAGAATAGTGACTAGGATTCAGATCAATAATTAGGGTGCGGACCAATTACTGTAGAGCACAAAAGGGTTTAGGAGAGAACTATGAATATTGTACTAGATGAAAGATTTCCAGAAATCTTTGAGCTTTACAAGGAACACTGGCTATCCCCTATTTTCAGACAATGCTGGCCTTCAAAAGAAGCAGAACTGAACAGTGTTTACTCCATTCACAGAAATGTTGAAGAATTATAAATAGTTAATCTTACATAACATGTTTTGGTTCATCTGAGATGAAATTTCAATTCATCATGTAATCTAATTCATCATAGATCCAAGGTGTTTTTATATTTATTTTTCATTTTATATATAGACATTATATCAGCTGAAGTCCTATCAGTGTCCAATTGATGTTAAAAGTTTCATGCACTTTGATTCCCATTTTGTGTTAACTTTCTTTGCAAAACATCAGTCTTCTACCAATTATTGCCATTATTAATTTTTGGTTTTTTTGGTTTGTACTCTTTGGGATTATAATATAGTCAAGATGCAATAAAAGATGTAAATATTTATACAAAGTCCAACATAATGTTCTTACCAAAGTTTCTGACACTGAACTCTATAGATACCATGTGATGACTTGAAGTGTTTGTGAAGTTATATCGGAAAGCCTTAATGCAGTGTGCAATGGCTATAAAACTTGGGAGTTCTACAAAATGTTAATAGGGAAAAATGCCTAATGTTTCCAGAGAATAGATTTGTACAATAAAAACATCCTAAAACCTAATTAGCAGTAAGATTGTTTATTATCCAAAGAAAGGATTATTTTGCCAGGAGATCCTTTAAAAAGCAAGGTCATGGTGAGATTTTTCAAGGAATTTTTTGGGGGGCCTACTCATGCTCAATATGTAATTTTTAATTATATTTCCACATTTTGTACTTTTTTTTCACACCCAGCAGTGTTCCTGGCCCTGCATAAGGAATTACTCCTGGAGGGCCCCAGGGAACCATTTGGAATGCTGGGAATTGAACACTGGTTGGCCACATACAAAGCAAGCACTGTACCTTCTACATTGTATAAAGCATAGAATATGGCCCACCACATACTTGAACAAATGTATGACTGCAGATTGAACTCTAGCAATTTAGTAATTGTAGTTAAGTAGATTATTATACTCTCATTCTTAATATTGTTGGAGATAAAGAGTTATACTGATAGCACACAAATAAATATATTTCTTTGTGTTTTCTTTGAGCTGATAGTAAATTTTCACTGTTTTGCATTATCAATTCAATAAACAGGGGAGGTAGACTAAATGGCAACAGAGTATTAAAGAAATGTTGGCTAGGGGTTTTTATCCACAGTAGGGTATGTGCAACTTGGAGAGTTGTCTGCACCAAACTAGGGTGTGAATTTTATTTATACAGCGACATAGTAGTATTAAGTCTTCACTCCCTAATAGCCCTTGTGTTTCCAATATAAATTTTCCTACTACCCCCATGGCTTTGGCTTTTGCTCACTTAGTTCCTTTCTTAACTTTTGTGAACAGAGGTGGTTGGGTGCCCTCTGTAGAGACAGCTACTGTCACCAGGGTAACTGAGATGTGATTCAGGCTCCTAAAGGTTACTGTGTGTGAATCTTCATTCATTCACACTTTTAATACAGATATGAATATATATATACATACACAAGTACATATATATATGCAAGGTGTTATATATATGGTATGTACAATGTATATAGTTATATATACTCATGTGTATGCTGCACAAAAGAGTATATTTTTATTCTGTAATTTTAGAGTTTTATATTAAATATTCACATCACAATTATGAACAAGTGTGTTTTATAAATTAAGTCATAAGTTCTCTATGAAGGTCCCCTACAGGAGGAAGTGAACAATCTAAAATAGCTTAGTCTAAAAGTTAAGACAATGAGATGTCTTTAGTTTTATAGTGTCCTTGAGTGTGGCCCTAAAAATTCTCAGGCTTGGACTTCGTAATTCAAGTGGCATGGTGAGGTCTAAGGGGCAGGATCTCACCCTGGTTAGGCTCTGCCACTAACCTAAGGTGATACTATTAGTAGTAGCAAGATGCTCAGCCTCAGTGTACTTTTCAAAGGGATACCCTGTTAACCACCACACACTGAATGGATTAAAGAACAGAAGTTTCTTTCCTGACAGTTCTAGAGGTTAAAAGTATGAAATCAAGGTTTTAGTAGGGCCATGCTCCTTCCAGGCTCGGGCAACATTCTTCCTTGTTTTTTCCTGGCTTCTGACACTAACTCCCAGTGGCCCTTGGTGCTTCAGGACTTATAGCTGCGTAACTACAAGACCTGCCTCCACTATCACATGGCTTTCTTTACTGTGTGTCTATATAGTATTACAGTTAAATTTATCTTCAACTTGAACTTGATACTGGTGCCCAGATTTAACTTTGATGAAGCTGTTTCTGTTTTGAAGGTGCTTCCAGTGATAAAAGCACTTGAATTATTGTATGCCAAAAGTGATTTGCAGCTCTCCTGTCTTGGGTAAAATCCAGTATATTGAGGGTTTCATACAAGAAAGGATAGAGGAAAGGATTTTTATCTCTTTTTTTCTTGCATCACTGATTCATTTGGAATACTTCATCTCCTCTGTCCTCAGACTGCATAATCAATGTGTACCATATCTTTAGCCAACTCCTAGGATGGAGTGGACATATAGCCTTTCTTGTGTGAAAAATGGGTAGTTAGTTTAATCAGCTCTCTACCAGAACTTATTCCTGTGTCACTTAATTGCTGATGGGAAAAATGGGTCTTAGAAAGTCCATTGTTCCTTCAACACAAATAGGGTTAATGAGAAAAATGGCCAGAGATGCCATTTGATAGGTTTATTTGCTTCTTGTATATCTCAGTTCTTGAAAGTTAAATAGTGCCAAAGTAAAAATATTTTAATACAGCTAATATATAAAATCTCTCTTTACAGCACCTCTGTTGTATCCACATTTAAAGCAGATGCTCATGATCTTATGTATGCTCTTTATGACGGGCTCAGTTGTGTCTCAAGTAACCTAAGTCGTGATGGTAGAAACCCTCATGATTAGGATTAATGTGTTATAAAGAGCATCTGTTGTTTTTAAGTCACCATAGTCTATAGTATTTTGTTATAGCATCTTGGAATGGGCTAAAACACCTTTGTATTTAATTGGAAATGGGATCATTGTAGATAGAATTTAATTTAGTCAAAGTCATTCTGGAGGGTAGCCCAGAATGCCTGAGGACTTTACAAGAAGGAAAAATTTGGACACAAAGATATATACTTACAGCGGGAGGATAATATAGAGGCACAGAAGACAACCACTTATGATCCAAATAAAGGACCTGGAACAAACCTTTCCTTCACTGCCCTCAGAAGAAGACAAAATAACCAATCCTTTAAGGTTCAATTTTAACTTTCTGTTTCACACTATGTGAAAATTATTTTTTGTTGTCAAGCAATTTAGTTTATGCTGCTTTGCTATCGCAGCTCTAACAAACCTGTATGCACACAATGAGATTTTCTTCTGACTAGTCCACAATCTTAAATGTTCCCATGGTGAGGGAACCCACTAACTTGTCAACTGAAAGTGTAAATTGACCCATTGGCAGAAACTTCTAGACTATTTCTTTAGTGTTTGGTGATCTTTTTAAAATAATTTCTTTAGTGAAGACATGAGATATTAGATGAAATAAATAGTTTTTCTCTTTCTCTCCCTCCGCCCCTCCTCTCCTTCCTGCTTTGAGCTAGTTTTCAGAGCAATATTTATAGCGTAGCCCATACACGGCTCCCTAAAGTTCAGCCTTGGATGATTCCTATTTCCCTGAGGAAGATTAATCAGTGAGATCTATTCCATCCTTAAGCAGTTGGTCTTTGAGAGGCCTCTCAAAAATAGATACAGCTTATTCCTCAAACCTGCAATAACTCCTCTACAGAATAAAAGAGGAAAAACTCCAGAGTTTTTATGAATAATCCCTTTTTAATTTAACTTTTTTTTTCCTCTTTTTAGTCAGTGAAGGCTACTTTGTCATCTTTGAAGATGTTAGATGTGGGAAAGTGGCCAATTTTCTCTCTTTGTTCTGAGGAAGAGCTACAGTTAATTCGTCAGGCTTGTGTCTTTGGCAGTGCAGGCAATGAAGTTTTATATACTACAACAAATGATGAGGTAATTTGTAAAAAATATTTTACATGTATTTTCAGTAATGGATTTGCTCTAAATTGAAGATCCTGGGGAAAATTGTGTGTGTGTGTTTGTGTGTGTGTGTGTGATAGAGAACAGAAAGATTATTATATAAATGCGGCAGTTATTTTGCTTTAAGAAGACTGTGCCTATTTGCATATAATTGTAGAAACAGAACAGCTTGAACTAATAGTGGTTTTTCCCACAGATTTTTGTGCTTGGCACAAATTGCTGTGGCTGTTTGGGGTTAGGTGATGTCCAGAGCACCATTGAACCTCGAAGACTAGATTCTTTAAGTGGCAAAAAGATAGCTTCCCTCAGCTATGGGAGTGGTCCACATGTTGTACTTGCAACAACAGGTAAGCAGAAACACAAAGTAGCCTTTGCCTTAAGAAGCAAGACTAGATTCACCCTCTAAATCGAGAACATTCTTTTTGGTATGGGTAAGAGACTCAACATTGGCTTGTTAACTTGACCTTAAATAACACAAAACATGGACATAAGAGCATGTAGCAGATGGAATCTAGCAATTGTCAGCATTTTAGATGTATGAATAGCAATGCTTTCAACCCAGTAAACAGCTTTGGTTTATCCCTTGTAAGTGTAATTAGTTTGCATTAGAACACCAAATTCACTATAGACCTTTTGAACTTGAAATTCCTCACTATGAGCTGAGAAATTAAAGCTGGATTCCAAGATTCCCTTCCTTTGCCTTCTGGGATTCTTGTATTTAATATTTAATGCTGAGGGCAATAATTAGAATATGGAAGTAAATGCTGTTCTGGCTATCTCAAACATTCAGGCTAATTAAAACATATTTAAAACTTATTTTAAACATATTAAAACAGAGGTCACAAGTTGCCCCCCATGAGGGGCTCTCCGGCAAGGCCATGGCTCCAGAGGCACAAGGACTTAATGCAGAGCCCGGCAGCTTGCAGCAGAAAAGTGAATGGACTGTGCCTAAATCCATGGTACCATGCCTCCCCGGGAGGGAAGGGGTGTCTCTCCCTTCCGCCTCTTTCCCCCTGGGAAGCAAGATGGCAGCCGCCTTGGAGCTTTTTGGAAAGCCAGGTATGAGCCGGTGGTGATGGGGCAACTGCAACCTCATGGGAAGGGGGGTGTTCCCGGCTCGTCCTTCAAGCCCTACCGAGGTCACATGTTGCCCCTCATGAGTGGCTCTCCGGCACAGCCATGGCTCCAGAGCCACAGAAACCAATCTTGTAATTATTTGGCTCTTGGCAGAAATCCCTCTAGACTTAATAATAAAATATCAGAAATCCAAAATTGCACAGCCGCTATTGCAGCTGTGCGGCATCATGTGTTTCTCATAACCAGATGTAGAAAACAAATTATTTCACAATGCCTTTTCAGCAGTTCTGATTGTTGGGTGTAAACTCTAAACAATAATGGTGCATCTTTTGTCGAAATAATGAATGTAATCAAAGTAGATAGAGAGTTAAGTAGAGTTCATCTTCCTCACAGGCATTGGGAGAGGTGGGAGGGGGGTATTTGGGTTTTTCGGTGGTGAAAAATAAGTAACTGGTGAAGGGAAAGGTGATCATTGCATGACTGAGTCTTAAACCTGAAAGCTTTGTAACTTTCCCACAGTGATTCAGTAAATAAATAAAAAAAAAAGGACAGTGAAAATATAATACACGCAAACAAATAGGAGAAAATATTTGCTAATTATATGTCTGAAAAGAGAAAAAATATTAAAACATATTTAAAACATATCTCAGGATTTTTCTTAGCTGGGCATTTATTTTATCAGTTCTCTTAAATAAAATTTATACTTTTAAAAATAATTTATTTCATATTTAAATATTATGAATTTTCAGTTGTCAATATGAGCAGACTACTTTCACTGAAAACAACAAAAAAAATCTAAATAAACTATTTAAAACTTTTATTGAGAAATGTAGCAAAGCACTGAGATGGTAGAAAGGAATTAACCAGGCCATAAATAGGGGAAATGTGAATAAAGTTAGAAAGGAACTTGAAGTCAGTTTTTCCCTTAAAAGTATATTTATCTACTTAAACTGAATTGTGGTTTGATGTAATGAGTGGGTGAGAGGATTTTAAGTCAAAGACTTCACACATTAGACTTAGACCAGAAAGGACTATTCTCACGGCAAGAAGGAGCCAGTTCTTCCAGCTCTAAGGGATTGAACTGAAAAAATCCCTTGACTGAGAGCAAAGTAGAAAGAAGAAAGAAAGAAAGAAATAGAAGGATGGGGGTGGGGTAGGGAGGAGAAAGACCAGACTGGATGTGACAAGGGGATTGGGAGTTGTGGAAACTTTTCTGGTAGTGGGGGTTCAGTGACTTTGTCCATTAGTATCATAAGCTTTACCACTATTGTAACCATCTTACATAAGTAACTAATTCAATAAATGGAAAGAAAGACAACCTGTTCCTGTGTTTAAATCCTGGCTCTATCCCAATTCATAACAGACCAGGAGATCCAAAGAAATCTCAAGCTTTAAGTTTGTTAGAGTTCTTTAAGTGTCCTAAGGATATGATAGAAGTTAATTCATGTCCTTTCTTAGAGTAAAATGCATTATTCTCTGTTAATTTTTCAATGACAGTTAGCGGTAGATAGTCAAAGATAAGAAGGTATGGAAGGGAAATGGGCACATTAATGAGGATCAGCAAACAAGACAGCAAAATCTGTCTATGTAATTATAAGGTATTAGGATTATCAGGTATCAACTACAAGGCAGATATGAATAAATAAAAGAAAGAACCTGCAGAGATCATAAAATAGTGGGAAAGAACCAAATAATATAATTATCAAAATGAAAAAACTCAATGACAAGTTCCACAGCAGTCAATGAAAAATTTAGTAAAATGGAAGATAGAGCAGAAGAAATGCACTTGAATGTAGCACTGATACAATTTAGTTGTAAATTGAGTATATATTTATATACTTTGAGTATATATGTGGGATACCGTTTGAAGTTTAAAAGCATGGCGAATTTAATTCTTTTATTCAATGCGCATATTTGAGAAATTTGGGGGTGATCATGAGGTTACATTTTATTACATAGCTAGTAATATATGACTGTGCTTTATAACTTTATAAAACTACTGAAAATATGTTTTATGAACTTTTTGAATGTGCATTCTACTCTATGGTAATAAAAATAATTAATTGATTTAGTGATGTATTACATACATACATAAGGAAATTAAGACACAGAGAAGTTGAATGACCTTATAGTCTTTTTATATTCAGTCTAATGTTTTTTACTTAACCTTACCAGCCTTGCACCTATTTCTTTCTTAAAAACATCTTATCTAGTTGTTATAACTGTGTCTATTATAATATCTTATTGCTTTGAAGAAGAATGTGATTTATACTCTCAAATGTATTTTTTTTATAAAATTAGAGAAAGTGAATTAGGGAATTATAGAACTGATCAAGGGGAAGTGGATTGACTTTCACACTAGAATATTAGGAAGTGTGCAATATATATTTTCATATAAGGAAGTACAAATTTAAAAAGCTGGTTATGTTTCTTCTTGTTTTCAGAAGGAGAAGTCTTTACCTGGGGTCATAATGCTTACAGCCAGTTGGGCATTGGAACAACTAACCATGTTTTAATTCCCTGTCATATCTCTACTAACTTGTCAAATAAGCAAGTCATTGAAGTTGCTTGTGGATCTTACCATTCTCTGGTGCTAACATCTGATGGAGAGGTGAGAATATCCAGGATAAATCCCACTAATTTTAATATTAATAATAGTGCCAGAAATATGATCATTTGATAAAAATCATCACCATCCTGGTTGAAGCTCAAATTCATCCTTATCCTTGTTAGTAATTTGTACACATAGTATTCATATTGTGAAGTTCCATTTTCTGTAGTAAGGATTTTGATAACTATAAAACATAAATATACCTTCCACAGAGGTTAACGCACTTGCCTTATAATGTAGCCAACCCTTGTTTGCTCTTTGACACTGCATATGGTCCCCTGAGCACTACCAGTGCTCCTGAGCACAGAACCCGGAACCATTTTAAGCACCAAGGAATGTGGTCCAAACCCACTATCCGCTCCCAAAAATTTACTCTTCTTTCTATATCCCTATATCAAAGAGGCATGTTTGAAAATAGAATATCTCCCCAAAGCTGTAAAATAGGACTTAAGTAAAGTAGATATTTTTATAAATGTTATGTGATAATTTCTAATAACTTACCATTTTTTTGGTGGTGGGAGGAGCAGGTGTTGGGGACATATCCAATGATACTCAGGGGTAACTCTTCTCTCTGCACTCAGTTGTTACTCCTGGCAGTGCTCAAGGGACTTCATGGGATGCTAATGAACAAACATTGGTTGGCTGTGTGTAGGGCATTATTTCTCCAGCCCCAGCTATTACTGTTTATGTAGTTAGCCCTCATAACTCAGTTTCACAAAGTAATACATTCTGTGAGAATGAATTTTACAGAAGCTTTTTTTCATGTTTTGTGAGAATTTGTGGGTATCAAGTGTCTGGAAGAGCAAAGTTGAGGCACCATAAGTATGTTAGTATCCAATTGAGATGTTTTATACATTAGTATGCCCTATTTATTTAACTTTCTTTTCAAATAGGTATTTGCCTGGGGTTATAATAACTCTGGACAGGTAGGATCTGGATCAACAGCTAATCAGCCGATTCCTAGAAGAGTCACTGGTTGCTTACAGAATAAAGTAGTTGTGAACATAGCATGTGGGCAGATGTGCTCAATGGCTGTGGTGGACTCTGGTGAGGTAAGAAAATGATTTCACATGTTGTTTAAGGAAAATGATTTGCCCCATCAATGTCATATCAACACGCTATATTTCCTACAACAGATCATTTGATATCACTCTGTCATGCACACAGTATCTCTCATTTCCTTCAGGTCTTTGTCTGGGGTTACAATGGAAACGGGCAGCTCGGACTTGGCAGTAGTGGTAACCAGCCAACACCCTGTAGAATAGCAGCTTTGCAAGGCATTCGCGTGCAGCGGGTATGTACACTACTTGTTCGTGTGTGCCCAGTTTTTAACGAAGACAATAAAGTACTGAACATTAATTGTTTTAGTAGGATGAAAATTTTAGCTCTTGGAGAACTTTGCTAATATAGAGGTTAGCACTGTATTTCTTGGAATTGAGATTTATGGATGTTCATCAGAAAATTTGTAGTCGTAGGATATTCTAAGGTATAGATATTAGAATGCAAATTATTGCAGTCTTATGTTATGACACTTAATATTATGTATTAAGCGCCTTGAAATATTTATACTCTTTGAACTGTAATTCTTTCAGAGAACTATCTTTCAAATTTTTTTTTTAGTTTAGGTAACCATGGTTGAACTAGTATTAATTTGTACTGTTTTGATGTACAGAGTAACACACCTCACCACCACTACCATGCCCAATACCCTTCACCGCTGTCCTTATATCATTTCTAATCTGCTTCTTTCTTATACCCCATGTCCTCTGCTTAGTAATCTCAGTTCTGTAATAAGAGGCCAAGAGTTTGTCATCATTTAGTACTGTTTCTTCCTATGTTTCTCTACGTACCACAGACGAGTGAGATCATCCCATATTTGTTCTTTTCCCTCTGATTTATTTCACTTAATATGATACCCTTCTGGTCACGTTAGGTATACTGAAAGATTTCATCTCTTTATAGCTGCATAATAGTCCATCCATAATAGTCCATCGTGTATATTTAGCACAACTTTATTTGCTCATATATCTTTGGACATTTGGGTTCTTTCCATATCCTGGCTATTGTACCTAGCAGTGAACCTAGGTTTGCATGTATTTTTTCAAATTAGTGTTTTTGGGAATGATATCACGAAGTGGAATTGCATGTCTTATAGAAGCTCTGATTTGTTTTTTGAGATGTCCCTATACTGTTTTTCATAGAGGCTGAGCAGACAGCATACTCACCAACAATGAATGAGCGATCCTTTTTTACCACATTCTGCCAACAACAGTTGTTTCTGGTCCTTTTTATATACACCATTAACACTGGTATGAGATGATATCTTATTGCTGTTTTGGTTTGTATTTCCTCATAATAAAAGATGATGAACACTTTTCATATACCTATTGGTCATCCATATGTTTTATTTGGGGAGATGTTTGTTCATCTGATCTCCCCATTTTGTATGGAGTTACTATTTTTTTTGTTGTTGAGCTTTGTGTTTTATATATATACACACACACACACACATATATATATATTAGCCTTTTATCTGATGTTTGCTCTGCACATATTTTTTTTCTCAGTGAGGTGTCTTTTAATTTTAGTCCAGGTTTCTTTTGCCATGCAAAAACCTCTTCATTTGATCTTGAGATCATTTTTTATATTTTCTACATTTTCCTATATTGAACTTATTTTACCTTAAAATAAAATACACAAACATGAAAGCTTGCAACTATCTCACGATGTTCAATACAATAAATAAATAAAATACACTTTAAAATATATGTTTTCTCTCTTATAATAAATGTCATTGAAACATAGAATAACCGAATTATGTCACTAAAGAACCCGTGCTGATCATAATGTAATTTTGATCACACATGAAACCTAAAACTTATTATTTATCTAATGTATGCATCTTTGGGTGGGTTGCCTTTCCGTGTCTTGTATTTTTTTAAAATCTGTAACTCTTAACCTGTCTTGTTAAAAGCATACTTCCTTCAATTTATAGAACTGAGTGCATATGGTATTTCTCTTTCCAGGTTGCCTGTGGCTATGCACATACCTTGGTACTGACAGATGATGGTCAGGTATATGCATGGGGTGCAAACTCTTATGGCCAGCTGGGCACTGGCAATAAAAGCAACCAGTCCTATCCTACTCCTGTTGTGGTGGAAAAGGACAGGTAATATGTGTATTCTCAAAAGAGCTCACATTTTCTCTAGTGATTAAACTTAAAGACAATATAGAATTGTGAGAAAATTATAGCTATATTAGAATATTTTTAGCAGACAGTTATTCTTTTTTAGACATGATTTTGGATTGTTGGGGAGGCTGATTGTTTTATTTTTTATTTTTTCTTGCCAGGATTTCATTTGTACCTCCAAAACAACTCTACTCAAACTATGATGACTAAACTTCTAATAGTTTTCTATGTTTTTATCCCTCACAGATTACCTTTCTCATGCCTTATCTTTGCTTAATACTTTATATTATTAAGAAAAGCTGATAACAGTTGAGGTCTATTTCTGTAGTTGGAAAATTAATGGGTCTAGAATGAAGTTTAAAATTATACACTCAGCTCCTTAAATATTTGCAATTGAAAAGGATCAAGTTGTTTCTTTATTTCGATTCCTGAAATATTACTAATAAGAAGAAGTGTAATACAGTTAGATTCAACTAAGATTATCACCTAAATGTACTTAATTATGATATCTGATTATAAGGAGGATAACCAGAACTTTTTCAAATCTTTTTAATGATATTTTGAATTTCTGTCATGGTCTAGCACAGTCCTTTCTCCCTTTATATCTTGATGCATAGTGTGAAACAATACCAATTTTATTATATTTTCTTTTTTGGAGGGTTTTTGGGCTACCCAGTGGTGCTTAGAGCCTACTCTTGACTCTGTGTTCAGGACTCACTACTAATGAGGCCCCAGGAACCAAATGGGGTCCAGGGATCTCACTCAGGTCAGCCATGCACAAGGCAAAAGCCTTGGGATTATTGCTCCAGCCCCTATTTCTTTTGTATAAGTAGATTATCTTGCATTTATATGTGATTCTTCTGTATTTTTATGTTAGAATATTTATCAGTGAAAGTGAAGATGCCGTTTGTCATTTTTCAACTCTTGTTTTTCACTTGAGTGTTATAAACCGTGTCAATTTTATGCTAAATAGGCTTAAGTAACCCTATTTTTATTTTTTCCAAAATTTTAGACTAAGGCCCTGGACTTCTTAAGGATTTGGGAAGGATGGGTAGGACAGACACGGGGGTCAGGAGGTGTGCGCTCCGCAATTCTTCCAGAGGTAATTCAGAGCTACTCAGAGGGAAGGGAACAGTCTTAAGACTTAGGATAGTCACAGAATTGCTGCAGACCAGCAAATCTGCTTAGTGGGCACACTTAGACTTTAGATTAAACAACAAAGAAGTGATAAAGTATCCATAAAGGTATCAATATAAACGTAATTTGTATGACACTTTACTAGTTTATAATGCTGCAACATAACAACAGCAAATTAGCTCACAGAACTTGCTTCTACTTGTTAGTATGTGAAAGATAATCCGGTTCCTTACTTAGTACTTACAATTAGCTACTGCTTTTCTTTTGAGAAAAAAATAATAATTTTAACGATAGCACAGCGGTAGGGCGTTTGCCTTGCATGCAGCCAACATGGCCGACCCGAGTTTGATTCCTCTGCCCCTCTCGGAGAGCCCGGCAAGCTACTGAGAGTATCTCGCCCGCACGGCAGAGCCTGGCAAGCTACCCGTGACATATTCGATATGCCAAACACAGTAACAACAAAGTCTCCAATGGAGACGTTACTGGGCCCGCTCGAGCAAATCGATGATCAACGGGAGGGCCTTTACTTTACTTTTTACTTAAAACAAAAAAGGGGGGGGGCTGGAACCATAGTGCAGGAGGAAGGGTGTTTCCCTTTCATGCAGCTGAACTGGGTTTAACCCCTACCACCTAATATACTCCCCGAAAACAAACCATTAGTGGTTCCTGGGTGCAAACCAGGAGTAAGCCCTGAACACCTCGGGGTGTGACCTCAAAACAAAAACAAACAAAAATAAAATAAAACCAAAAGAGGCTAAGCTATGAAAACTTTTTGATGTGTGTATGTTAAGAAATGGAAATAACTACACATTTATGCACTTAGTGTTGTCCATGAAAAACACATGGAGAAATGTTTTCAGTGAGATACTCCTATTTTTTGTCAGTCTTCCATTCTTGAATTTCACACGGTAATTTCTGAGGTTGCAGGTCCTGGATCATATAAATATCATAAAGGAGAAATTTATCAGTCTGCTAGGGCTTGTTTTGCACCTCACACCCATTTTAATGACAGAAATCTTGCAGATTTGTAATGACTGGTCCTTCAGGAACTCACTTCTGACTCCTGTCCTTTCACAGGGAAGTGTGACTAATTAGAAACAGCAGAATTGAATTAGGGGTGGGGTGGATCTTCAGGTTTTGGTTTATTTCTTTAAGAAGCAGACTAAAACTAAGCCCATGTTGGACTGTTTGCTGAAATAACCACTCAAGGAGAGTCTTTTACAATATTTTCCAATATCTTCATCCATATTATTGATGAAGAATGTTATGAAGCTTAGGTTCACATTAAAGCAATTTTAATAATTAAAATTATTTTTTTTCTCTAACTGAGCCATTCTCCATATTTCTAAAGCATCAAACTTTTACTTAACCAGCATTTCTGTCTTTGTACTTTAAGTTCCATAAAAGCATATTTCAAGTTTAATTGATTTGAAACTGACCTTACTGTGAATTTTTGCAAGTTTTATGACTTATTGAGTTAATTGTTAGTATATTGTTCTTATACAAAACCAGTTTGAGAATTACAGTTCTGGATCTTTTTAAAATTTTTAATCATTTCCTCACTATTATTTGCTCTCCCAAATTACCCTTTTCCAAAACTCTTCATGTTGTTTCCCATTCATTCTCACTTTGCTTTTTAATTACTATTACTAAAGAGTCATTACGCTTTGCAGTTGTGGATCATCTTGTTGAGATAACCCAAAATCTTCTCATCATGAATATTCAGGGAATTGTCCCATTAAGAATGACTACGAGATAAATGTGAAATATGCCAGACATCTTGATAGCAAAAGTTAGCTCGGTTTGTACTCATAGGCTGTTGCATGTAAACCTGTAAAATCTGAATTGAAAAAGTTGCTTTCTGGTATGAATCAGAATGAAGTATTTATGACCTTAGGCAAAGTCAGGGTGCCTTGGCAGTAGTGTGGGTCCCAAGTCTAGACCTGAAGGTTTCCTCTAAACTTTCTTCAGTCTTGTTCCTGTAGTAGCTTCTGCGGTCAGCCAAGCTTGTACCTCACCTCTGACTTCCCAAAAGGTGCTCGGTGCTCCAGGAAAACTTCACAAAGCTGTCCTCAGGGGAGGTCAGCTTGCACCCAGCATTACCCAGCCTCACCCATTTGCTCTACCCATTCTAGCCCTTTGCTGGGCAGCTGCATTCCTGCAAAGACTGCTCCTTCTTGTGAAGATGAATAATAAGCCTTTCAGAAGTAAATGTAAGAATTTGATGAAAGTGGGTAAAGGACCAAACATGATGGCCTCTCAGTATCTGTATTGCAAAACATAAGACCCAAAATGAGAGAGAGAGAAAGAGAGAGAGGAAGAAAAGAAGAAGAAAGAAGAAAGAAAAAACTGAGGGTCGCAGGGGAGGGATGGCAGGAGGAATACAGAAGACATTGGTGGTGGGAAATAGACACTAGTGAAGGAATGGGTCTTGGAACATTGTATGACTGATTCCCGATCATGAAAGCCTTGTAACTGTATTTCACAGTAATTCAATTAAAAATTAATTAATAATAAAAGAATTACATTTTTTTGATAGTAGGTAGTTTAGCTTTGAAGGGCATTATTATATTCCAGTTATATTTACACAGATAGAACATTCTGGAAGAAAGGAAGGCTCATTTTAATTGAATATTAAAAGTCGTTAAAAAGAAATAAAAAAAAAACCCTTATCTTGCAGCAGGTCATTATGGAGGTTCATAAATCTGAAAATAAAAGCATTAAGTAAAGTTTATCTAAACATTGGTGAAGTCTTTTATTTTTTTAAATTTTTTTAATTTCTTAATTTATTTTCTATTTTTTTTATTAGTGAAACACCATGAGGTACAGTTGTAGATTTACAATTTTTTGTGCTTGGGTTTGATTATACAATGATCAGATACCCATCCCTCCACCAGTGCCCATTTTCCACCACCATGGATAATATCCCTCCCACCCCCATCCCCCCATCCCCCCCGTCTCTGTGGCAGGGCAATCCCCTGTGTTCTCTCTCTCCTTTTGGGTGTTGTGGTCTGCAAAAGAGGCATTGAGTGGCAAACATGTTCAGTCCATAGTCTACTTCCGACATGCATCTCCCCTCCTGGGAGGATCCTCCAAACATCCTTTATTTGGTGCTCCCTTCTCTATCTGAACTGCCCTTTCCCCTAGAATACCCGGCTGGCCTCTAAGTTATGGAGTAATCCTCCTGGTGCTGATCTCAGCTATTGTTGGGTATTAATCTCATATTTTGTTACTTTATATCCCCCAGATGAATGCAATCTTTGGTGAAGTCTTTTAACCTCCTTCCCCTTTCTACAGACAACTACCAGATTGCTTTGTAACTAAAGCAGTATCTGCAGGTTGGGCAGCCCACTGTTCCCTCACACCAGCCCTATGTTCCCCTCTCTCTACACTGCCACACTGTTGTTTCTTAAGATTCATTTTCTTGGCACCGTTTTGGCACCACCTCTCTTTCCTCTGATAGAAAAGGTCACTCCAATTCTTCCTTGGCCACATGATGTGGACATTTTATCTCCACATCCATTAGCTCCAGATCACCTTCCAGGCTGTTACTTTTCTTTCACTCTGTCCTGTGTTCTGTTGTGGGATTAGTCTTTTTCAGAATGCTGTTTTCACTACCTCATGGTCCTGTTATAAGCTATTTTCCATTTGCCTCTCACATCAGATGATCTAAAATCTTCAACCTTGGAATTAAGACTGACACTACTATTCCTAGTAAATCTCCTTACTCTCTGTTCCCCAGAGTTGCACACTTGTTCCAGTTCTGTGTTGATATTATACCCTCTCCTGTCTTATGATTTCCACCCTCTGACCAAATATTTGCATACGTATATCTCTCTGCCAGTAATTTTCTCTTGGTCTGCTTCTTTGATAAATTCAAAACTGAGGCGGCCCAGTTAACCGCTTGCTGAGTTTAAAATACTCCTTCTGTAGTGCTTAGGTTTTCCCCTTTTTCTCCAGAGCTGTTATAATTTGTGCCACACTAACAATCTGGAAATTGTTGGCCTTTCTCAGTTACATGATTTTTAGCTAAATCCTGAGTTTCTTAGGGTAGATCTCATATTTCACTTTGCAGCTGTCAAACACTCAGAAGAAACCATTTTTTGAATGTACTCTGTGCTTATTTTATTCATTCCGTGAATATATTATTATATTATACTCTGTGCTTTATTTTATACATTCTTTATGCAATTTGTGAAGTGACTGCTATATAGTATTCTTTTCTCTGTATCTTTTTTTAAAAAAGATGATAAATATATTATAAAACTTTTAAGTTACTAGGCCTTTGTAGATTACTAACTCCAGCCCATGGTCTGGCTAGGGCACCAAGTTTATAGTAGATGAACTTTCGTTTAATATATATCTTCTATTTCTCCCCTCCTACACACTGTTTTCTTTGTTTGTTGATGAGAATATGTTCATTGAAATGCCAAACTGTTTCCACCTTGTGGGCAAAGTTCTTTTGTAAATTACTGTATTATAAGTATGAGCCAATTAACTGACATAACTGCAATTAAAAAAAGTTTTGCTCATCTGAATTTATCATTAGATATTCATAATTTCCACATAAGGGAAGCTTTGTCACTTAAAATATTAAATAGTAGAAGTGATACTTTTAAGAAATCACTAGTACATTACCTTTTGTACACCAAACACTTTGCTTGTTACTTAATTGCTTCATTCTCATCAAAGTAGATTGCAAGGCTCCTGTACTAGCCTTGAAAAGTGCTGAAACTAGATTCTTAGAAGCTAAGGCACATCCCTACAGTCATACAGCCTTGTAGAACTAGTATTTGGGTTCGGATCTAGGCTCTAAGTGCTCCAATATGGGATGTATTAACCATTTTTCTAGTGTTCTTGGTTTGTTTTTAAGAACTACAAGCTGTCCTCTAAGAAAGCAGCCCAATTGATGGGTGGAATTCCTCAGGTTGTACAGGATTACTTGGGTTGCCTCAACTTTCAGAGGAAGCCACCATGCATTCTCCATCTTTCCCTTCCTTGTCTGGGAAATAACTATTTAATAGTGTGCATTGAAGGAATACCTCTATTCTTCAGTTGCAAGCTTTGGCCCATGCTGTTTCTTACCTGACCCTCAGTTGTTCTGTGTTGTTGAGTCGTTCCTAACTAGTCAGTAGTCTACACTTTATATTCAGTAAGACACTAATTTTGATACTTAGGAAGAGCCCAAACATATATTCCTGAATCTAATAGGATCAGGCTGGCATGGTATAGATTGATGTGTACTGCATTTACTCAGGTGATCAAGAGATTTCTTACCTTGGGACTCTTTGAACTGAACCCCAATAGATAAGTTGAATTTGAGTTGCAGAAAGAATAATAACTTCGAATAAATTGACAGACAGTGAGCATATCTATTTATTAGAATATGTCAAATGTGGGCAAAAGTCATTTCAAGGAAGACTGGACATGGGAGCCAAATTATGGAAGCCTTTTTATATGTGTCTGGATTTTATCTTGTAGGAAGTCACTGAGAATTTGAAAGTACTGATGAAGATGGTGTTTTTAGAAGATTAGTATCATTCTGTGGTTTGGGTCAGAGGAGAAAAAGTAAAAGACAGGGAGGCCTAGGAGGTGTGCCTGGACTGGTCATTCAGATGGTCAGTAAGTAGTGGCATAAAGGAGTGAGAAGGGAGAAGTCAAAGATGATTCTGAAGTTCTAGCTTACGTCACTAAGGAGGCTGGTCCATTGCCTTTTGAGAAAAAAATTAAGAAGGTAACTGCAGGGACTGGGAAAATAGTACCGTGGGTAGGGTACTTTACTTACACGTAGCCAACCTGGGTTCAATCAGGTGATTCCTGAGCGCAGAGCCAGGACTTATACCTGAGCACCACTGCATATGTCCCCAAAACAAAATTCATTTTTTTTAAAAAAAAGAAAATAACTTAATTTGGGATTTAATAGTTTACCAACTTCTCTGAATCTGTTTTGGAAGATTTTGCCAGAGTCAGGTAATTATTTCCAAATCATCAAAACTATTTTTTCCAGTAAGAAGTCTTGTGGCAACTACCGGCTTGGCAATCATGAACTTATTGCACTAGTGTGTAACTTATGAGGAGCCTAGGAAACACCTCTGTTGGGCTTAGATACCACAGCCCAGTCAGTGAGAACTTGTCAGTTTACTCTTTGCAGTGAGAATTGTGCTGACTCACAGCATGCATCATTTAATCCTGAAATTGGTGAAATTATGATGAAGATATTTATTAATCTTGAGTCAAATTAGTCCAAGTCTTTTTATCTACTTCAGTAGAAGTTTTTTAAGAAAAAAAGCATGAAATAACTTTCAGAGTCTCTATTGAATTGTTCTTGAACTTCAAAAGAGACTGGAAACAGAACAAACCAACCTTCCTACAGCTTAAATGTGTAAATCACTGTTGGTTGCCTCCAAACTTCAGATTTAGGTAGGTAAGTCTTGCTTTGTAATTAAACCTAAAGGAAGGGGAAACCAGTTCTCTCTTCTGTTTTTCCCGTCTACTATTTTGTGTGTGGATTTAGGATTATAGAGATTGCAGCTTGCCACTCTGCCCACACCTCTGCCGCCAAGACCCAGGGTGGGCACGTGTACATGTGGGGCCAGTGCCGAGGCCAGTCTGTGATCCTGCCTCACCTCACCCACTTTTCCTGCACTGATGACGTGTTCGCCTGCTTCGCCACGCCCGCCGTCACATGGCGCCTTCTGTCTGTGGGTGAGTCAACTGATTGATCACCTACCAGGGCTCCTGGCCTGAAAGTTGGGACATGAGTTCTCATGCTTTTAGTTTAGGGGTGAGGACTTTGGTAAGCACAGTTGTATAAACCCCCTCCCCGCCACTAATGGGCTTTTGTGTGCGTTTCTTGCCATTTAAATTTTAATGTGGGGATCTTCCCAGCAGAGCCTGAAACCTGGGGGCAACTTCAGGTAATAATTGGCATAACCTTGTGGGCTTGATTCCTTCTTGAGCATAAGCAGGGCTACACCTTGTGATGCTGGGCAGTGGGGCGATGGGGACGGGGGTAGGGGTGCAGTGGGGGTACTGTCAGTGTGCACTGAGTGCTAGGGATTCAGCTCAGGGCTTTCTGTGTGACAGTTGTGCACTCCAGCCCCTGAGCCTGAATTGATGAATATTTTAAAAAGTATCAGAAATCAGCACCACACACTAGAATAAAAGTACTTTCATTTGACCGCTTATTGATTTCACTCTGGAAATGACATCTCCTATTTTTAGCTAGAATATTTGCTTACACATTAAAAATGCATTTAGAGAGATGGTTTGTGATTTTTAAAAAAATTTTATTTTTTGCCAAATTTATGAGCAGATGGGTATGAGGTTCTTATTCTAAATCATTACAGAGATACAAATTCAGACTTAGGGGAGTTTGAAAGAATTGCTTTGTCTGTTATTTTGGGGAACTGGTATTTTCAGGACTGTCAACAGAGCACTGTCATATTCTGGCCTGCAGTTCCACTGTGTTTGTAGTTAATGCTAGAAAATGTGTCATCTTGTTCTCTTAGAACCTGATGATCACCTCACAGTGGCTGAGTCCCTGAAGAGAGAATTTGATAATCCTAACACTGCAGACCTCAAATTTCTGGTGGATGGAAAGTACATTTATGCACATAAAGTTCTTCTCAAAATTAGGTAAGGAATCATGTTTTGAGACTTTAAATAAAACACATTTTTTAAAACAATGTTCATGTGCCTATGTTTGATGCTTCAGTGATTACAAATATGTATTTGTGTGTCTATGTATATACATGTAATGTGTGTGTATATATATTATTTGCAAACATATAGTGCATTTGAAGGCACACATTATACATGAAACAGGAAATAATTGAGATCATATAAGCAAGTTCTGGCGGTGTGGTTCAGGGCATAAGTGCTAAAGGCGTTTTTCTTTTCTTTTTGTCTTTTTTGGGTCACATCTGGCAATGCTTAGGGGTTACTCTTGGCTCTGCACTCAGGACTTACTCCTGTCAGTGCTCGGGGGACCATATGGGATGCTAGGGATTGAACCCAGATGGGCACATGCAAAGCAAACACCCTACCCACTGTACTCTCGCTCCGGCTCCAGTACTGAAGGCTTATTACATAGGTTTTCTGGGACCCAAGTTATATATGGTTTCTCTGCACACAAGGAATTCTTAGATAGGAGCTGATTTTCCTACATTTTGACCCAATTCTGAGATGAAGTTCCCACCAGCCCCATTGCTTCTTGGTCTATCAAGGGTAGTATCTGAGACTACATGCCCAGAGGTGACATGGTATTCGTCAAGTTAAGGATTCTGTGCTGGAAGATGTCCACCCTCTGTTCGTATATGACAAGACTGGAAAGTGCCAGTTGCAAGCCTGGGATGTGCCCTGTACTTTTGAACAATTGGCTGTGAATTAGAGGTTCCTTTGACTTCCCCTATGGGTTAAATCACTTTGCCTGAATTGCTCACAGCATTCAAAGCAGCATTTTATTTACTCAACTACCAGTTGTTTATCAAAAGTAGAGGATAGCTGGAAGGAATCGATGCTTAGGGGAAGGCTGGGGAAAGGACATGGAACTTCTGTGCTCTATCAGCACTCACCTACCTGAATCTTCAGGTGTGAACCACCCCGAAAGTTTGTTGAATAGCCTACTCTTGGATTTTTATGGAGGCACCTTCATGCAGTCTTGGTTGAGACACTCATGGGCCACTGGCAGTTGATTCTCAGTTCCTCCTGCCTTCCCAGAGGCTGTTGGGGGACTGAATGTCATAATCACATGGTTGTTCCTCTAGGCACCCTGCCCCCATCTTTAGGTGGGGTCCAAAAGTCACCTCATTTATATAACCAGAAAATAACTTGGTCATTCCCATCACTTAAGGAGAGTCCTTGCATGTTAGCAGCCATGCAGCAGAAAAGGGGCCAGAGAGCATCTATTTCTTGTTAGGAATCACGTTTTCTTAGCAGCCCTGGAGCCATGACAAGTAGACTCCCACATGGTTGCTCCAAGAGCATGTTCTGTATTCTAATCATGAGTAGAATAAAATTTCTGGGCTAGGAACAGCTCATCGATGGTCATACTCCATCTGGGTGCATCTGAGGTGCTGAGCACAGGCCTACCCTTGTGAAATCACTTCCCCAAATCAAGGTATAGGGAAATTCCACCACTCCCCAAAGATCCCACATGCCCTAGCTGTGGGCAACCACTGGTCTTTCTGTCATGTTCAGTAACATATCCTGGGAGTTTATGAAAATGGAATTCTACAGTACATTTTGTGTCTAGCTTCTCCCTCATTATTATTGAGAAAAATCATTATGTTGTTAGGGAACAGATATTTAAATCGTTTTATAAGGAATCCCAAACTCAATGTGGCATTTTGGTTTCAAGTTCATCTCTTAGAGCAGACTGGGAAGTATTTCTTTGACTTTGATTGTCCTCCACAAACCTTCACTGAATTGGGAGTGGGGGAGAGGGGGAAGGGATGAGATCCGGGAAGAATTAGTTTGCTAGGGCTGTTCTAACAGCACTGCAGACTGGGTGGCTTCAATAGAAGTTTACATAATAGTTCTGGTGGTTACAGATCTAAGATCAGGGTGTAGGCAGAATGAGTGTCTGAGACCTCTGGGGCTCTACGGATGGTCTGTGGTGTCCCTTGGCATGTGACAGCTTAATGCCAGTCTTCATGTGACTTTCTTCCCATGTGCATGTCTGTGTCCAAATCCTTTACACCCTTTACTTGTGAAGTAAAATAGTTTTCTTTAGGGACCTGTGGTGAGGGAAGGGTGTGTTAGGAGGAGGAGACAGAAGAGAGACAGAGAGAAAGAAGGAAAAAAAACATACACAGACTTCTTCCCACAGAGGGGAGAGCTCAGAGTCTCCCAGAGTCATAACTTGGCCAGCTGAGTGCAACAACCACATGTGGCCCCTAGACTCCATTTTCCATATTGAATTAGGACCCACCCCACTACTTCATTTTAACAGGATGACCTCTTTGAAGATACCATCTCCAAGTGCTGTTATGTTCTGAGGTTAGGACTCCAACATAGACAGATTTTGAGGGGGTGAAGCCAAATACCACTTCATCCCATGGTGAGAGAGAGAAGGGGTGAAAAAATATGACTCCAGCTGCCAGAGAGATAGCCCAGGGGTTAGGGTGTTTTCTTTGCATGCATCTGGCCCCAGTTCGAATATTCCCCCAGCACTCAGTATGATTCTCTGAGCACTGCCAGGGGTCATTCCTGAGCACAGAGCCATGAGTTTCCTCTGAGCACCACTGAGTGAGATGCCTTCCCCTTCAGAATAAAAATTTGACTCGAGAATTTACAAAATAAGCCCACCGAGTTTCCAAAAGTTCTGCTGAGTGAAGTTGGTGAGGGACGGGTAGATGCCTGGGAGCCTGCAAGGCCTCTGCCCAGGGTGGCCTGGGGCAGCTCCCCCATGTGGTGGGCATGCATGCATGTTCTTCTCAGAGAAATGAGTCCCACAGACTGGAACAGAATTGAGGAACCTGGGTAAGGGTGTGAAGTGGTGCCCCATGGGCAGAGTCGGGAATGGTGCCCCTGTTTTCCTTTTGCTGCTGTTGTTGTTTTCCTTCCTTCCCTTTTACACTGCATGAAATGGATGCTCTGGAGGGTCTTGTGGCCTTTCCCTAGGAGCCAGGACCTGACTCACTTCTCTCTTCCTTCAGGTGCGAGCATTTCCGTTCGTCTTTGGAAGACAATGAGGATGACATTGTAGAAATGAGTGAGTTTTCGTATCCCGTTTACCGAGCCTTCCTGGAATACCTGTACACGGACAGCATCAGCCTCTCTCCTGAGGAGGCAGTGGGTAATGGCCACGGGAGTTTGGAAAGCAGTGGGCAGAGTTTCGGGTGCCTGGCACGGCGGTTTCTGGAGAGCCTAAATGAAGTCAATGTGCAGCCCAGCCCCGGGCTTTTCTCCTGGGTGTTGAACCCAAACTCCTTTTCCTTGTGACCTTTTTTTATGCCAAGGTTGGATAGAATAAGCAGGATGAAGTATCAGAGCATCAGGTGTGTACGTTGTGGGCGTTTTCTTCCTTACACACATCTTCAGTGACTTGTTAGCTACCACCCGGCTGCCCCACAGAGATTTGTCTTTTAAAGGACCAAGTGCCTCTAGTCCTTAGTCTTGTGGATCTCCTTATTGGTGAACTTCCCTACCACACGACTTCCCACTAGGTCATTCTGTTCTGAAGGTAATGAGGCATGTTCATCTCACCTCAGGCCACGAGGCTACGAAGCACAGAATCAAAGACAGCCTGGCACAGAAGCACCAACCAGCCAGGGAATGATTTCTGTAAGGAAATAGAGAGTTTGAGCCCCGTCCCGACTTTGAAATGAAACGTTCATTTAAACCATTTAATTCCATTAACACTTTTCTCCCTGATGAATGTTAGCTTTCCTTCAGGTAAGCAGAGGATGGATTTCTGAAGTTGTTAGGGTTTTCTTCCTTCCCTCTGTCGGTGTTTTAGTGTCCATGCCCATGGCACAGCTCCCTGCTGTGACCAAACTAGGTGGAGGAGAGAGGATTCCTTGGCTTGGTGCAGCCTGCAGTGGACCCTAACTCCAAATGGATAAATATAGGGCGGCGGGGGAGGGGGCTCAAGAAGTACTTTAAGGGTATTATTCTCCCATGCTTGCAGGAATCTCCTTTCTGTTTTCTCTCTTCCTAAAATAAGCTCTACTTTATCCTCAATTGGAAGCCAGCTTCCTTCACTTTCCCCCCCTACCTTTTAAATAAATGCTTGCCTTAAATGGAAAAAAAAATGAAGAAAGTGCATTAGGCAGAAACCTAAGGATAGCACAAGGAAGCAGGCCGTGCAGATAGCCAAGGAAGTGCCTTCTGAAACACAGGAAACAGGAAGTGTAAGGTCTGGGGCAGGAACAGATTTAGCATGTGAGCAAGAGGAAGATCGGATGGTTCAAACGGAGGGAGCAGAACTGATGGTGGTGCCTCAAGTTTATTTGTTTTGCTATGCCAGAGATTGAACACTAGACCCCACCCCTGCAGGACACGTGCACTTCCACTTAGCCGCGTCCCTGGAGAGTTTATTCCTAGTGCAGTAGAACACCTTTGAAGCATGAGATGAAGGTTATATTATTTTTTTAAATAATAGTTTATCATTTTCATAGTTTTCAGCGACTTAAACAAGATGGTTTCTTTTTTTCATACACAGTGCAGCATGCCCCTGCATGTGGTCCTGTGCTGATGGGCTGATTCAAGAGTGTATTTGCATTACAAGTGGCAGGATGGAGAAAGGGAGGGTGATGGTGATGAAGGACAGAGGCCAAATTTCAGGATCTGTTAAGAAAGAGTCCTGGAGGTGTAACCCAGTGATAGAGCACAGGCCTTGCACGTACAAGGTCCTGAGTTTGATCCCCAACTGGGAGGAGAAGTGGGAGGAAAAGGGTCCTTGTCAGTTCCTTTTACAGCAAAATCAAAGCCATACTCAAACTGAATGCATAGAAAGTGGGAGAAAGTGGTAAGTTGTTTTAGACCAATAGTCTGTTTGGCGAAGGGAGCATGGATTTGGATATGGGGAGTAGGGAGGGAATGGAGTTGAGGCAGTTCCTATCACCAGTTTGATGTGATTAGTTCCTAAAAGCATGATCACTGTTCAGGTGTGAGATGATGGTGCCCTGGGTTTGGGTGGTGTGCAGAGGATGTGCTAGAAGGAGATCAGATTCTGGATATATTTTTAAAGGTGGCTGATGGGACTTATGGGTGGTTTGGGATGTTGGGTGTGAGGGTAAAGGCGAAGGATGACAGCCCTAAGGTATTTGGCCCGAACAGTTGGGTTAGTGAAAGTATCATTTACACAGATGAAAAAAAAAAGGAGAGCAGTGTGTTTTGGAAAGTTTTAAAGTATAAAAGGAGTGTAAGCTGCCTACTGGCATTTTGCTTATCTGTGTGGCATTTTAACTTGCTTGTTCCTCACATTTGTAGGTTCCTGGGCAAGAGTCCAAAATGGAGACCCCCACACCACATATCTAAAATTATTTATAAATATAATTTTGAAAGTTAACATGTCAAGTATATTCAGATAAATATTGGTATTGGCAATACATCTGGAAAAATATGATTAATTCTCAAGCCTTGAAAATATTTCCTTCATTATGAAGAGAAAAGCCAGGTTTGAATTTTCCATGGATTTTAGAAGTGCAAGGTTCCTTGAAGTTCTGTGCTGGCACACAAGGCTTCAAAGTTTGCATCCTGCCATATTTCTTTGTCTGTTACTGTGACACTTTGTGTTACTACAGTGTGAGCACCCCAGCTGGCATGACCGTGCCCTATCTACCCCACCCCAGCTCACTCTTGCCTGGGACTCTGCACATTGCTGGCGTGCTCTGGAGAGGAATCCTAGGCATGGGCTCAAGCAATACAGTCTCAGGATGCCAGAGTGTGATCCTCTGTGTGACCTGCAGTGAGGGGATGCCCAGAGGAGCAGAGCTTCCCTCTGGGGCAGGAGCTCAATCAGGTCTTTTCTTAGCACAGATGTGTCTGGATTTGTCAGACTGGAGTGTGTGAGTGTTGAGAGAACTAATGTAAAACAATTGAGCCATTTTCAACTCTCAAGACTTCTGAAAATTTCACTCTCCACTAGGGGTTCTAGGCCTTTTTTCTATAACTTTGATATTTTTTCCTAACAGTGAAAGGATCACCATGCTTTCTGTTCTATTGCATATAAAATTGTATCCCATTACAGAATTTACTAATACAGAGGAACAGTTAATGGTCTAAGATTGATTGGCCCTTGCTCTCTGTCCCTTCAGGTCAAAGTCCCTCGTAAGAAAAGTTAGCTTGAAGTGTATATGGAGTTTTCTAATAGCTGATTTAGCTCACCTTTTGATTATTCTGCAATTCAATTCTGAATGTTATCTTAGTGAAAGGACTGCTGCAGGGACGTCAGGCAGCTAAGTGTGTGATACTGAACCCATTCAGGAAGGGCAGAAAGTACCTCAGAGTATTTCTGGCCAAGCCATGTACCGCAAACACTATGTATTAACCAGCGATGAGCTGTTTCTAGCATTCTTTGTGCTAGTCAACAAATTTGGGAATGAAGATTTAAATAGCAGAACTGACATTTCTGACAGGACTATTTAAAATGCCCACTGACTTAACCATTCTTGATTGAAGTACTTCATAGTATACCCTGGAATAGGTTAAAATTAACTTTATTAGCAATATCCTTGTAAATTGAGTGCAGATGACAGATAATATAACAGGAATCAGAAGATTCTGTAGATTGTGTTTATAACTGCGAGGTTGCAGATCACTTATAGAAATGGGTGAAGTTGAAGCCTAAAGATTGAACCCTTAGATCCAAGTATATTAGGAAATCAGGAAAAATGGCTCTGGAAACAGTAACTAAAGAAAGAAAAATATAAGCAACAGAGTGTTCCAAGCAGGGGATTTGATGGTCAGTCACATCAAATTCTGTATAAATGCTGAGTTGGATGAAACTGAATATGAGCAGGCCTTGGATTCAGCACTGTGGTAGCCATTAATGAGCATCACGTGCATACAGTCAGAAAACAGAGGGCATGGAATTCTGTTAAGTGGCTTGAGGTGAGAATGGGGCATGGGAGGGGGAGGTGAGAAAATCCAGGCAGCAAATAGAAATAATTTACCCCAGGAGGTTTTTTTCAAATGAGAAGTAAATAGGGTGACTGGAGGAGACGTGTGTCTACAAAGGTTACTCTTTCCCTTCTGAAATAGATGGACATTACTAGAGCATGTGCGAGGGCCCATGGAAAGGACCCAGGAGATGTTGGTAACAGGAGGGATATTTCTAGGAAGAATATTTAAGCCCTCCTGTTTTTCACAGCTGCTGTTATCTCAGGTCAGCTACATTCTTAGATCAAGCCTTACACTTTGTGGAAGCCATATCTATTTATTTGCACAGCTCATCACTAAGGATTATATCCAAGATAATGTCTACATCATCTCAGAAACGTTAGATCAGTTAAGGTCAGGATGCTTAAAATTACTACATCTAATCAACGTCTCTTTCTACCAGGATTGCTGGACTTGGCTACATTTTATAGAGAAAACCGTTTGAAAAAGCTCTGCCAACAAACCATCAAGCAAGGAATCTGTGAGGAGAATGCCATTGCCCTGCTCTCAGCTGCCGTCAAGTATGATGCACAGGTGAAAAACAGACAAACAAACAAACAAAAAACCCTTCTACTGAGCTGACTTTTGGTACATTTGAACTAATAATTCAGGCTCAGAATTAGGGTTATCCAAAACTGCTGGTAAGAGTGAGGATTGCTGTAATTCTAGGGGTTCCTTCTGGCATCATAATGCTTTAATCAGGAATGGGTTCAGGCCATTCCTGGCAATTGTTGACCTGGCTCCGATAGATCTGAGGTTTAATGCTTGGGTCTGACAATGTAGTGCCTTGTGGGTTGGGGGTACTGGGGACCATCAGGGTTGCACACTGCAGTGCTTGAGGACGTGAGTGCTGGGGACCTAACCTAGGAGCTCTGTGTTCAAGGCATGTGCTGCAGTGCAGCTCTTTGAGTTATCTCCTTGGCTCTAAAGATCTATTTAAAAAGATTTACTTACAGGAATTTCTTTTAAGGAAACAACCAGGATTTGTGTGAAAATTTAGCTTCAAAGATACTTTCTGCAGCCATTTATAATTTTTAAAAAGTAGGAAAAGTCAATGTTAACAATACATCATTTTAAACTATATAAGGTTAACACTGAAATTATGCATGTAGGCAAGAAATATTACTATTTATGAGACTGTGGTCTTTTCTTTCAATTTTTAAAAATAGAAACAGCTTGGTTTAAAAAGACTAAACATCTTTACATTTAAAGTCATTTAAATGAAAACTATTTACAGTAACAATTACACAGAAAAGAAACAACTCTCTCTCTCTCTCTCTGAGTACTGTGGGATTGTGGGGGTTCATTTCCGTATTTTGTTGTTTCTAATCTATCTACAGTGAGCATGTATTGTTTTGCTATAAAGGAAAGAGAATCTGTCCTAAGAGTTAAATCTTTAGGAAACAGGCCATACTTCTTGGAGTAAGTTTCCTTTTGGTGTAAGGATATCCTCTCCTTTGGTTAAAAAAACAGGGACACTTTAGTGGTGACAGGAAAAAAAAGGTCACTAATCTTCAGCTTATATAAATAATACTATGCCTATTAAAGAAAATTTGGAAACTGCAAAAAGTATAAGGAAGGAAATGACTCATCATCCTGAGAACATTAACATTTTCACACAGTTCCTTCTTATTTTTTCCCTGTTATGTATGTATCTCTGAATACTCTATTTTTCTGCTTAACAGTGAAATAAGAAAGGAAAACAAACAAAAAACCTGATCTACCTGGAAGCACATTCAAAACCATAGTAAATGTTTGTCTTTTATCACGGGAAAACCACTGATGAAAGATCCCATTGGGTATAGACAGTATGCAGAATGCTTCATGACAAACAAGATCTGCTTTGAAGAGAGTTGTTGAAGTCTTAGCACTGGGTGCCAGTGGGTTATAGATGATACAGTGGGCCCACAGTGTTTCTATGTGCAATAGACTTCATTCCTGACTTTTTTCATATTCCCTATTGATATGAATTATTTGTCTTTTACTTTCCTATCAAGTAAGCTCCTTGAAGAATATAGGCTCTTTGACACCAAGTGAAACAATGCCACTGTGTGTATAGTAGGTCCCCACTAAATATGTTTAGTGGAATGGAGCGATAGTACAGGTGTTACGGCACAAGGCCAACCCAGGTTTGATTGCTGGCACCACATGTCAGTCCTCTGAACACTTCCAGGAGTGACCCGAGCACTGAGCTGGGAGTAGATCCCGTGTTTATAGCACCTCACTAATGTTTAATGAACATTCAGCTTTGCCTGTAGAGATACTTTATTTTACTACAGCTTGCTTATTGTTTATTACAGTCTGTATTAATGTAGAGGACTACAAGTAAAAGAGTTAAAATACGTGTAACTTTTATAGTATTTATAAATAATACAGTATACAGAATATAAAAGGGCATTAGGTTTTTTTGTGCAAGTAGTACTTTCTGCTCTTGGCTCTGTGCTCAAGAGCAGTCCTGGCATGGCTTGGGGAATCACTAAAAAAATTTTTTTTTAAGATCCTCAAGCATCTTTTTATTAAAGAAATATAGATTTGAAATGTTTATGGTAAAATCTTATCAATACTGAACAATTATGTAAATAAATAGTAATTCTGTGAGAAGACATCTCAGTCTTATTAATTTTGGTGACATCTTCCCAACCACATCTGATCTTCAAAATCTTCTTCCTGAAGTATGGCAGGAACAGTTTTGCTTTACCCATCAGGATGACGATTGGAAGGAAAACAGCTATCATAAAACTTGGAGGTTTGCACCATATAAATTCACTCATGTCTACTCATTTATTCCAGGCAAATCAATGCATGCATTGCGCCAAAGATAAGGGCAACAATTCCCAGATCGCTCTAAATATAGTCAAATATTCTCCATGTCAAAGAGTTTCTAACAGATTGAATAGATGTCACAGCTAAAAGAGCTAGTAATGCAAGTGTAATAATCCCCACAGGTACATAAAATTCCATTCTCCAAACATCATCCTCAATCCAGGCATCTTCTTTATTTTGTTGGACCTGTTTATACACCCAGTTTAGCAGTATGTATCTGTCAGATCACCTCATTGAATAGGTCAAACTATAAATTGCCTGCAGTACAGCAAAAAGGAAGCTGAGAAGCCCAAATTGCTTTCTTGTTAACATCCACTTATCCAACCAATTTGGGAATCTCTTATACTTGGTTCCATTCCAAAGCTGTACAATAGCTGCTATTACACCTGACAAATAAACCAGTGCAAAGAAGGTGATGGAAACTATTGGCAAAACTTTGTTGATGACCAAGATTGAAATCTTATATAAATATTGTTTATGGAATTTCACATAAGGGTATGTAACCTCTCTCATTATAGTATAAGCAAATGTCAGAAAGGCCACAACAGCAGCAATTTTTAGTGGTAAGCGCCACATTGGAAAGAGCTCCTGTTCTTCTTGAGGTTCTGGGGGGCAAACATATTCATCAAAATGGGTTTTTTTGGTTGTTGTTTTCAAGTCCAAAACCACAGGTCTTTTCAGCATGCCTGAGTCTCCTGAATCTTTATTCAAAGACTTATCTTTTAGACTTCTCCCAGGCTTCATTTCCCAATGTTCTTGGTTTGTGATGTTTAGTTTGCTCTCCATAGATTCTATACTGTAGTATGGATTCAACCACCCATTCCTCAGTCAGACCGGACGTGTATGCGACTTGCAACGGCTGCCTGGCACTACCATTCAAAATTTTTATAAATAAAAGACAGTGTATTTTTTTTGATATTTTTATTTGCTGACTAATAAGTAGGAAATTCTTTTTTAGAAAATTGTTTCTCATCTAGACTACCACTTAAATGCATAATCAACATAAGACAGTAATTACTTGGAGCACAGTTCACATCTTGTTTAATTCTCAAAATAATCTTACAATATGTATGTACTATTAGTAGTCCCAATTTGTCAATGAGGAAACTCATTTGTGTAATTCAGCAAGATTAACACAAACTAGTAAATAAAAAGCTGGAATAAATTCCAAAAATATACAGGTAACTCTGATTCTCTATTGTCCCGCTTATTTTAAAATTAGGAACTTATTCATGATTCAGCAAATATTTACTGCTTTTTTGTATGCCTGACACTGTCTTGGCACTAAGGGTAGAGCAATAGGCAATAAATAAATAAAACAAATAATAAATAACAAACTATAGTATGTCAGATGGTGACAAATGGGGAAAAAAGTAAAGTAGAAGCATCAGGCTGAGAATACAAGGGAAACTTTAGTGATTCAGGAGGAGATATCATAGAGACAGAAACAAAAGTTGAAGGATTTGGAAGGAGCTCTGAAATCATGTATTGGACCAACACCTCAGATAAAGGACAGAGCAAGATAAAAGTTATGGGCCCAGCTAACTGGGTGTGCTTGGTATAGAATGGAGGAAGTTAGGAAGAGCTATAGGCAAGTGAGATACATGATGGAGGATGGGCATGTGTAGAAGAAGGCAGGACCTGCAGAAAACAACAGACAAAGCTTAAGAGATATGATTTCTAATCCTTGTGAGTCAGTGGAAACTTTAGAGATGAGAAGACATGATCTGACTGACATTAGGAAATAATCTGCTTTGCTGAGAAGAGCATGAAGGTGAGCAGGGCGGTTGGTTAGGCTGTTCCCACCAGGGTATGGTGGTGGTTCAGGTATGGTGGGGCTCAACCAAAGGAATGGTGGAAAGTGAAATTGTAATCAATAGGATTTGCTAATGGATGGATGTTGGATGAAGAAAACATCACAATATAGGAGCTGGGATATAGCTCAAGTGCTTATTAGAACATGCAGGGTCAGTAACCTCACACACTGGGTGTCTTCTGGTCACCCCAGGAGTGAATGACTCCGAAGTTTGTGGACTGAGCACCTGAATTGTGGATTTGTGTCTGTGAAGGCACCACTATCAGTATTGCTAATTTGTACTTACAATAAATGCTTAAGTTGAAAATATTGTTTATGTGTTTAAAGAAGAAAGATTAGGAATTGTAATCCAAATTACAATCATACTGTAGCACTGTAGCACTATCCTCCTGTTGTTCATCGATTTGCTCGAGCGGGCCCAGTAACATTATGAGACTTGTTACTGTGTTTGGTATATCGAATACTTCACAGGGAGCTTGCCAGGCTCTGCCATGCGGGCAAGATACTCTCTCTGAGAGGGTGGAGGAATCGAAACTCGGGTCGGCTGACTTGGACGCATGCAAGGCAAACACCCTACCCGCTGTACTATCGCTCCAGCCCAATTACAATATACATGCATATTATAATCCTTGTTAGGTTTATAATATGCATCTATATGGCAATATACATATATAATTGAGATTACCTTGATCTTGATTTGGTGGTCTCCAAAGCTGTTCTCAGGGTGCAGGAAGCCACTCTGGCAATACATGGCCAAGCAATGGAACTGCTGAGGCCCCATGGAACCAGTGACCCCAAGAGTCACTGGGCAATGCTTGGGAACCACCTGAGTTACATGTCACAGTGCCCAGGAGAACATGAGGTGTGAGGGTTTTAAGTGTGTGCCCGTGACCACTGAGCTATTTCCACAGTCCCTCTTGGGCATTATATTTCTAAAATTTCAGTCTCATAGACAGGAAACTCGATGCTGGCCATCACCTGGCAGCATGTTGTTCTGGGCCAAGATGCAGCAGAGCCCAGGGGCTGTTGAATTTTGCAGGCTGCCCGCACTCTAGCTCAGTTTTTCTAGGAGGAAAGAGAGGGGAAGATGTGCAGCCACCTTCATTCTGCTTCTCAAGCTAACAGATATAATCCAGAGGACAATTCTCTGGCTCCAAATGCGTTATATATAGAAGCCAGAAAAACACTGATCTGTGGAGTTTCTCTTGGCAGTGAGAAAGTCATGATTCATTCAAGGCATTTTGCTAGTTAAGGATACTGAAGATCTGCACAGTCTGGTGAAATCCAACCTTTGTTTCATAAAGGAAAAGGAAAAGAACAGTAGTTTATTTAATGACTTCAGAGCAGCTTTTTGGGCAACATTGCCTTTTAATAGGGCTTAACCTCTCCTTACAAACTGCAGGTAAAAATATTGTAAGCTCCTAGGAGAATATAAAAGAAGACTGTCCTTTTAATAAATACTGAAACTTGAATGAATACAAATAGTGTAACTAGAAAGTGAGCTCAAAGGGCAGGAGTACAGGTGCTGCATGTGCCACTTGGCACCCACCTGGTTGCCCAAGAACCACTGGGAAAGAACCCCAATAGTAGTCAGGTTTTTTGTCTTGTTTGGTATGAAGAAATTTAGATGTTTATTATTTACATTTTTACAAGCATAGTTTCATATAAGCAATATAATTTTATTGCCATTCTACAGATACTACCATTTCTTCCCATTAAGTACTAAATCCTTTTGTCTACATGTTTTAGGAATTTTCAAGCTATATTTTACTCCATTGGGAAATATAAATTTATTAAAACATTTTTCTTGTTTTTCCAGGATTTAGAAGAATTCTGCTTCAGGTTTTGCATAAACCATTTGACTGTAGTAACACAAACTTCAGGCTTTGCAGAAATGGACCATGATCTCCTGAAGAACTTTATCAGCAAAGCAAGCAGAGTTGGCGCATTTAAAAACTGATCCTTGCCTATTGGAAGGCATTATCACTACAAGAGCCAGAGAATAAATGCACCTTACTGATATTTGTGATTAGCTATCATTTGGCTGCTAACTTACATTCTGTCAAGAGAAGGATGTCAGTCAGTCTTCCCCATTGGCTGAAATCACAAGTTTACATAGCAGGCATTAAATGCTGTTATTGGAGGTGATGAAGCTCAAGGGAGGAAATCTAGTATGTCTTAGATTTATTCTTTCATCTTTTGAGTCACTTAAGTTGGATATTTTGGCACAATAATGTAAGCACATGCTCTTCTGGCCAAATGTTACATTATCCAACAGATTGGTAGCACATAGCTAGCTGACAGAAAATGCTGTACTCAGTTTTCTACATCCAGCACAGTGCTTCGCATATGGTAGGCACTCAATTTATTATCAATTTAAGTATTCCCTGAGAACAGCTTTATTTGTGGGATATTGGATGAAGGAGAAACACAAAACCAATTTTAAAACAGCCTTCAACTATTAAGGTTCATATTCTTCTGGTATGTTGTTCTGAGAATGGCTAAAATTTAGCCATTAATTAGAATTCACAAAGGCCTTGGCAATTAACTGTCAAAAAAGCCCAAGAGTGATTTTAATTTCCCATTTACTTTCTCACAAGGGATTACTGAATATGAAGCATTATCTTTGAATGAATGTTATTTCTAGGCGCATCTGTCTTACATGACTACATAACATTCTTTGCTCTTATGTTGAGATTTGCCTCCTTAAAAAATGATTTTTTTTGTAGTTGCTTCTGTCATTATAAAACAAGGCACAGTATAATTATGAAGTACTAACTAAAGAGGAACTAATATTTACATTTCATGGACAGCACTAGAAGAATGAGATCCATTTCTACTTTAACTGCAAATGAGAAACTGGAACAGAATGTAGACTATAACTTCCGTCTTCTGTATTTCACAATGATATTATATAAAGAATATTCTTTTGAAATTAGAAATCTTGTTCTGATGCTGAACTATTTGATAATAAAGAGCTTATTTGCAGATAAGAGAGTGCTTCATTTTTTTATTCCTAAGAAGCTGCAAAATTATATGTCCTGTATACCATGTTTTTTTGAGCTATTTATGTCTATTTTTTATAAGCTGTATATTAAAGCAGTTACTCTGATAAAGTGTCATAGCAAAGTCCATCTTAGAACAAATCTTTGAAATTAGTCTATGTTGTTATTTTAAAAGTTAGACATGTATCATTTGTTTCATTTGCTGTTCTATCAAAGGACAAACACTCAGTCTTGGGTGGTAGCTCTTTCTATCAAGTCTGTAGTTTGCCAATACTACAGACTTCCTTTCTTGCCTTGCTTCCTTACTCTTGTAAGCTAGCCATGACTTAGTGAAGCATTCACAATGTAGTTTTTCATTCACAGTGAAAATTTACAATGTCTACCAAACTTTCCCTTTCTCTTTCTTGCTTGTTTCTGATAGGATCTTCTGAGATTCCTCAATGCCTTTTTCTTTTATGGCCCATTTTATATAAAAATTGGAACACTCAAATAGGAAGAGGCCAGTTTATTTAGGGATGAAAAATGTGGAACTGTTTACCAAACTCCACTGTGGGTGAGGAGTCATATTCCATAGGAGAATTATTAAGAAAGGTTGAGTGGGGGTGGGTGGGAGGGGCAGAGAAATAGTACAGCAGGGGAGGTACTTGCCTTGCATTACAACCCATTTGATGCCTGGCACTGCAAACAGTTCCAGCTGAGTCCCTGAGCACAGAGCCTGGAGGAGCAAGTCCTGAACACAGCCAAGTATGATCCAACATCATACCTAGAAAAGTTCTTCTCCCCTGAAAAAAAGAACTTTGGGTAGATTATTATCCAGATTGTCTCTCTAAGCTTTGTTTGGTATAGGTTTGTACTACCCTTATCTTTTGACATGAAAATAATCTATGTACTTTTAATAATAGGTTTAAGGATTTATAGCAGGGCTTGGGGATCCAATTAGGGTTGGTAGCATGCAAAGTTAGCACCTAACCCCCTGTAGTATCCCTCGGGCCCCCAAGCCACTATATTTCAAAAGATCTACAAGTAATTTTATTTAGTACGAGAATCATCGGTTCTGCTGTTAAAAACCTGGGCCTGCAAATCATGACCTAATTTTAGAATAGGTTTGAGAGATGGTGGATGAATTCCCATGGAGTCATCTCCCTGAGGAAAACATGCCCTCTACAGTCTTTGAGGACAGGCTTGACATCAACACTCCCATGCTAAGAGTATTTCTACATGCATGTTTGTAAAGTCAGAAATGTAGGAGAGGGGACTGGAGTGATAGTACAGCATGAAGGGTGTTTGCCTTGCATGCAGCCGACCCAAGTTCGATTCCCAGCATCCCATATGGTGTGACCCAAAATGCAAAAAAAAAAAAAAAGAAATGTAGGTGAGAACAGGTAAGTTTTCATGACACAAAACCAGAAATGAAGGGATTCATTACACAAGTTTGTATGTATTCGATCCTTAATTTTTCTGTGTAAGCTGGGGTACAATTATAGTGGAAGCACTCAAGCACTGAACTTTAATGTTTTGTTTTTTTTTTTCTCTTTGGGTCACATCTGGTGATGCTCAGGAATTACTCCTGGTGGTTCTCAGGGGATTATATGGGATGCTGGGAATGGAACCTGGGTTGGCTGGGTTGGCTGCCTGCAACGCAAAAGCCCTACTTGCTGTACTATTGCTCAGGCCCCAATTAAGGTTTACTTTGAAAAGTAACTTACTATTAAGTTACTATTTAAACTTCTAAAAAAAAAACCCCTTACTATTCTTAGCTGGATGAGTTTTGTTTAGAGACAAAATTCTGAACCAGCATTAATGAAAAGGAAGCAGCTACAAATCCTATAGTCGTGTCTATCTTACTAGCTCCCTTCATGTTATCACACAAATGTGTTAGAACTGCAACTAGTATATAGCATCATGATTTTTCCTAATTCTGCAACTTAGTAAATAAAATTAAAGCAAAGAGCATAAACCATATTGATTTTTGTCTCATTAAATTTAAATTCAGTTACAATCACAACATTTTCTAAGTAAAAGAAACTGATAATGATCTATAGAATGAATTTAAACATTCACATTAAATTGTCACTATCACATAATGCTAGTGCTAATATGTGTATTATTCAAACGGTGACACAAAAGAATTTACCGTAATCACACACATTTTATTTAAGAGGCTATCCTTGTAGAAATTATTTCAAGAGGAAAAACTGCTAGCTGTCCTGTAAAATGCCTACTTACTCTAAAGGAAAATTCTATTGAAGGAATCCGCACCAAAATTTGAGTACATTATCTGGTTCCAAAATGAGAAGTAAAAATAGGTTTCCACAGACAAGTTTCTATAAAATCATGTAGATGGTATCAGTACTAGCATTAGCTCCCACCCCCAAATTTGTGCTGGAAAATCATAATAATACATTTGAATGTGTTTTTATTACAAAGAACTTCAATTACTGGAATATAATCTTCAGGAATGATCAACTCTGTATCATCTAAATGGACAATCTGAAGAACCAAAGGTTTCTTGATTTTGCCTTGACTGAGATAGTATTTACATTGGATGTGGGGATCTGTCATGAAATACTATTGAGACAGGGTTTGAAAAAAGAGGCAATGCACACAATACAGTATAAGGATTTTCGCTAGGATGGTCATGAAATTAATTAGCTGAGGGTAGGAAGGAATAAAAACGTGAATACTTCAAGACAAGTAGCAAAGTGAATGGATTTATATTTTTAAGAATCAGTGGGGATTAGCATGTTGAGAGCCCTCATCACACGGAGATGTTAATCACAAATTATGCAAATTCCAATCATCATGTTCTATCTGCCCTCTGAGTAGAGGAACAGGTAAGGATTATCCTACCTGACAATTGAATTTATATTTTTAAAAGATAATTTTTTGCTTTTTATGGCATTTACTGGTAAAGAGAAAGAGGGAACAAAGATTTTAACAGTAATCAAGACAAGTTAATTGAGAACTGTTTACTTATTCCAGCCAAAGTATTTAGTAAAATGAGGAATGACTGGTTGGTATAGAAACACGGTGTTTTTGTTTTATTTTATTTTTGGTTATTCCCAAATGGTGTTTCTGGGGCCCTCAGGCCACTTCTAGAGATTTTCAGTTGGAAGGAAGAAATGGTGCTGCTCAGATTCCGCAGTGGCGGAATCACCAGGACCATCCTGGCAGTGCTTAGGAATCTCCAGGATTATACCCAGAGGGGCATGTGGTTGGCTGCAGGAAAGGGATAGGTCTTAATCCCTGCACTATCTCTGGTCCCTCTGGTTTATATATTCATAGAGGAGTAGGAATAAAGAGTTCTTTTGTTTGTTTTGTTTTGGGGACATACCCAGTTGTGCTCAGGTGTTACTTCTGCCTCTGCTTGCTGCAAAGGGGACCATATGGGGTGCAGGGCATCAAACCTGTGTTGACTGTGTGAAAGGCAAGGGCCCTACCTGCTGTACTACCACTCAGGCCCAGAATCAAGAGTTCTGTTGGCTATAAGATCCTTAACCTCTATGAAGAGACCAAACCTGGATAAATTAATGGGCTTTATAGAGTGAAATACCCAAATTTAGTAGATGGGACAACAGAAAAATGCACACTTAAGTGTATATTTGAACTTAATTCAAAGACCACATCAAACTCTAAGACTCTTAACAACTAATTTATTTTAAAATAGACAAACTATTGTAGAAAATAGTAACATAGCAATTTTAAATGTACAGTTTTAACCAATATAAAAAAACCAATAAAGCAATATTTGAAGCCATGAGCAATCTCAATACCTAATTTTTGATGTTCCTAAAATTCTGACACTAAATCTAATGTGAAATTATTAGCAAAAGATCCAGAAATATGGTAAGCCCTTGGATGAAAGCTGGATTGTATGACATTCATGCAAAAATTGAGAAAATGGAATAAAGCTTTCTAATGCCTGTTATTAAGGTATCTACCAAAAAATAAGTTTGAAACTTAATTAAGCACAAATTAAAATTATTTTCTAACGAAGACCAGAATTCTTTTTTAAAAGAAGTCTGCATTCAGACCGTAATTTTACTAAAATCTAGTCAATTCTACCTTAAATACCACCTATTTTAAATTATACCATCTCTAAATAAGTTAATCACACAAGATAGTTTAAATAAACCTTTAGGTTCCAGGAGGGAAAAATGCCTCTTTCTAATGTAGCTATTTAATTTTGAAGTTTCTGCACAAAATCAGATAGAAATGTGAGTAGTCAAAACCCAAAAACTTTTGCTTACTTGCTATTTTAGACGGGAATTAATGTGGCTTTGAATTTGCCAGTGTTAGACCTTACTGACTTCAAAAAAAAAAAAAAAGATAAATAGACAACTGCCAGTTGAAAAGATATGGAATGGAAGACAGGTGCCATTCTGGAAAAAAAAAAACAACCCTTCTCAAATTTAGGAGGGTAGAATAACTGCAAAGATGCATTAGACAAATCACTTAAGAAAAAAGAAATTAAGGCTCCTATAGTTAACAGTCCTATTTTGTGTCTTGATTCTTCAGGACCCAGAAACATTAAAAGTGCACTTGGGTTATACTATATTAGGGTCCTCTACAACAAAACTCTAGCCGGAACACTTTAGCTTTCAAGTAGTAGGTGGGTAGTTTATTAATTCAGTGATCTGAATGGTACAAAAACCAAGAGTACTACGAAATACCCTCATTTTAAAGCATGAGTGGGATGAAGAAAATAATCAAATTCTTACAAGTCCTGAGGTATGAAATCTGTATCAGTAGTATGTTTATACTTTACTTTCTGCTTGTATTTAAAAGCTGAATCTATAAAACAAGCAGACAGTACATCAGATTTCATTAGTAAACTAAAATCTAATGTATAAAAATTAGTATTTTTCCCCTATCTTCTAACAACCTGTTTTAGCAGAAGGGGTCAAAATCATTTGGGAGAATTGGGGCAGGGGAAAGGAAGGGAGGCAGTCAGCCAAATTGCATTTGGAAGACAAGTTTTCTACGGTTCACGTTAAATTAAAAAAAAATAAATATAAATTAATAAAAACAATAGCAAACATCAACCATATGCTACAAGGAAAGACAAAATACTCAGTTATTTAGGGATTAAGACTCCCACTCTGGGATATCCTTACCATTTGGAAAGCAGAGCAATTATACTTTGGAAATGGAAACATCTGCTACACACTTTTAAATGGCAGGATTTACACAAGATTTACAATCTTGTACAATAACAATGTACAGTCTACTGACCACAACACTGCAAGTGGCTTAGGAATCATATGCACAAATATTCATTGTGCATCTACATATTTTATATCCATGAGTCAGCCCAGATACATATTAAATATTACAACGAACAAGCTCAGAGTTGTATAGGCAATCCAAGAGACCACAGAGCGAGGGATGTACGCAGTGCCCACCAGGGTCATACAGTCCTCACTTTTCTTCCTTGTTGGAAGTATCCATGCTATCATTCATTTTCTGCTTTTGCATTCGTGTTCGCGTAGAGGCTGGAAAATGGATAAAGAACTGTTAATATCATTAATGGTGCCAAGTAAGTTGGCAAAGGATTGCCAACTTCTTATTTTATGCTCCTGCCACGTCAGTGAAGGTCTTGTAAAAGAGATCTGCAATTTTTTAAAATCATATATTCCCATAGTGAATTTTTTCCCAAGTATGTGCCAACAAAATATGTGTACATGTAAATTATAAAAAAAACTCCAAAATATGCTAGAATAGAAACAACTAAATTGAAATCCTAACACTTCCTTTGAATACCACCAAAAGTGGTCTTATACAAGCCTATAGATGCTCAACTTTGTAGACTACTATTCTAAAGATGATGATGCTGATGATGTTTGGCACTTGGGCAGGGTAAAATGCCAAGTTGTAACCTTAGAATGATCTGTTAGGTATTCTTTACAGAACACGGCATTCCCTTGAGTTTGAAAATGCTCTACAGGTACTGTAAAGACATCAGCTCACATCTAATTTGGACGATTCATTTATTTATGTAAGCTATTTCACACACGCCCTGCCCCCCGCATGACCAGGGGGGCTCAGATTGATGTGCTATCAGGAGTTGGGCAGGAGCTCTACATAAAGAAGCACAAATAATTTGGAAAAAAGGAAATTTTAACTGAAGGCTGTTCCTGCTGTTGTGCCACTCTGAGAAACCTAGTACTGTGTGACAATGATCTTTGAACACAATTTTTGAGGAATCTTTGAGGAATCTGAAGAGCAGTCTGGAAATTCCTCTAAAGCTCCTTATGCTCCTGCCCAATTTTCCAGCCATGCAAGGCCTTGAATTTGGCAAGGTGAATCCATTGTCAAAGCTAAGTGTATCACAAAATGTATTAGCCAAACCAACTAACCTCTTCCCCCCAAAAGATACATGTGCTTTTTTTAAAAAAAAAATAAAGATACTTTTTAAAAAAAATTGAATCACTGTGAATATAAAGTTGCTCAAGACTGAGTTTCAGTCATACAATTTCCAACAACTACCCCTTGACCAGTGCAAATTTTCTGCCACCAATGTCGCCATTTTCCCTCTGACCCACCTTCCTGACTCCCACCCATCCCTTCCCTGTCTCTGTAGCCTGCCTCTCTGGCAGACACTCTTCTTCTTCCTCCACTGTGCTCCCCATTTATTTTTCTTTTAAAGGCAATGTGGTTTGCAATGTTACTGAAAGGGTATCATGTGTACCACTTTACCTCCTTTCAGCACATTCAGTTTTTGTCCAGAGTGATCGTTTCCAAATATCATTGTCAAGTTGATTGCTTCTCTGTCCTAATTGCATTCCTCCTCCCTCTTTGTGGCATGCTTCCTACATGGACCAGTCCTCCTGGCCCTTGTTTCTAAGTTTCTGGGAATTAATCACGTGTTATTTTTTTGGTTTTAATAACTTTCTGCTCCTGTAAAAATGTGTTTAGATTTTGGATACAAGCTTTATGTCTATTTTAATATATAAGGGCAGGGGGAAATACAATTATTTACTTTCAAATTTGAAGGCCATGTAAGTGGTGCTTTGGATGGCTTCATGGCCACACCCAGTGAATCTTAGCCAAGTGGGCTAGCTGTTCAGCTAAGGGCCTCAGGATGTGGCTACTCAGTGCTGGGGACCACCAGGAACACTCCTGAGGTGCTTATGAACCTCCAAGACTAAACTCAGTGGTGCTAAGGGAACCATGTGGTTCCAGGCACTAAACTGGAACATGCTGTGTGTGTGTGTGTGTGTGTGTGTGTGTGTGTGTGTGTGTGTGTGTTGGATTTGGGCTGTACCCTGAAATGCTCAGGGCTTATTCCTGGCTCTGTGCTCAGAGATCACTCCTAGCAGTGCTCAGGAGACCATATCAAGGTGCTAAGGATATGAACCATAGTAAACTGCATGCAAGATAAGTACTTTACCTACGGACAATCTCTCAGACCTCCAAATATTTTTTCCCCTGCTTTTTGGGCCACACCTGGTGGTGGTGGTCAGGGGTTACTCCCTCTTCGCTCTGCACTCAGAATTTAATCCTGGTGGTGCATGGGGGATCACATGGAATTCTGGGGATCAAATCCAGGTTGGCCACATGTAAGGCAAGCACTCAAGTCACTGTATTATTGCTCTGCCCCCTCCATACCTTTTAATTGCATAAATAATTCTGCTTTTTGAAGGAACTAGGCATGTTCTTTCATAATATAAAAGGTTCTGCAATGTAAAGAATTTTTTACTTCATTTACAGAAGGTGAGATAGTAAAGACTTACTCATTTCTGCCAGTTTCTGTTGAAATTTGGATTCCCCTGGGAGATGTTTACTGCAGATAAAATAAATGCAAGACATTTTAGATGAATAAATGGAAAACTCAAATTTCTAAAAATTGTAGAACTTTCCATGACTTACTTTATGCTATTATTTACATAACTATTTAGTATAGCTATTTTAATGACTACCAAAAGTGTCACAAATTTATTCTATAAAATTTTTGATTCATTTTTTTTTCTTTTTTTGCTTTTTGGGTCATTCCCAGTGATGCACAGGGGTTACTCCTAGCTCTGCACTAAGGAATTACTCCTGGCGGTATTTGGGGGACCATATGGGATGCTGGAAATAGAACCCAGGTCAGCCACGTGCAAGGCAAAGGCCCTACCCACTGTGCTATCACTCCAGCCCCTGATTCATGGTTCTTTTAAAACACAGTTCTTAATATATTTTAAGAGTATTTCGAAACAGAATGTTAATGAAAACAATAATAATTTTGTGAAACAATGATCAGGCTATCTTCTGGAGGGATGGAGGGAAGTGGTTGAAGTGTTGGGCCATACCCAGCAATGCTTAGGTACTGGTTTTGTGCTCAGGAATGAAACAATGATCATATTTTAAACAGTTGATATTTCCTCTGAATACCAGTAAGACATAAGGTTATATTATGCCTTTTAAACCCTGGAATGAGTGCATATCTATTATTATAAGCAACCCACAATTTCCAAATAAAATAGAAATATGAAAGTCAAGATCAGAGCTGGCACTCTATTCTCCAGATGACCAATTCAGAACAGTTCTCACCTTCCATCTGCTTCATCTGATCCATCGATATCAAAGCGCAGCTTTTTCAGTGGCTTAGGCGGGTTGCTTCCTTCAGCACTTCGTTTGAGCACTCGGTCACTGTTGCACACCATCTGATTTATTTTCTGGAACTTCTCAGAAGTCTGTAGATTACAAATTTCTTTTTAAAAAAGCACTTAATATGAGCATCTTTTAGTTGGTAACCCCTGGTTATATTTTGAAGTATATAAAAATAAGGCAAGTAGAATTATCTTCCCTTCTTTTGTGCTTTAATGGATCAAATAAGAGCAACGAAAAACTTAAAATGAGAGTAATTCTAGCTAACTACCCCATTTAAGTACCCACCCTTTTAAAAATCTTCCTGTCTCTTTGCATAGGGATCCTCTTCCTCCAACTCTGACTAAATTTTTCAAGACTTGGTTCCCTCAATTTTAGAACTCAGAGACCCAAAAAGTCACTGCTACTTCTCAGAGGTAATATGAAGATGGGACAGCTTTTGACAGCCTTTTTCCTCCAGAGAGTATAACATATATGTGGTGGTCAGGAACTGGATTGGCTCTAATGCTGCCTACCTCCTACTACCCACTAATCCTACTTCCCAGTTTTTATACCTATTATGCTTACTTGTCTTCCTGACTGTGGGTTGGACCTAGTGCTGTTTTGCTTTTGATTAAAAAAAAAAAAGCATGACAAAAATTATTCAAAATCATCTTCAATTTTAGGTACAAAATGACTATGTATTCCATCTTACTCATTATCTGCCTCTTTTCCCCCCTCTTCTCTCTGAGCTATTACACCTGGAAAGAGATATTGTATTACAAGTAAGAAAAAGCTATAATGACTTGGGCCAACAGCTACACAATTTTTTTTTAATAAGTGACCCTCCTCTAGTTAGGCACTGAGAAAACTTCAGTTTGAAAACACATTAGTCTTGTGGGCTGGTGCGATAGTACAGCAGGTACAGTGTTTGCCTTGCATGAGGCTGACCCAGGTATGATTCCATATGGTTCCCTGAGCATCGCTAGGAGTAATTCCTTAGTGCAGAGCCAGGAGTAAGCCCTGAGCATCACTGGGTGTGATCCAAAAAGAAAAATAAACAAAGAAAACACGTTAGTTTTGTGAGTAGATCCTGCAGCTAGCTAAGTAGTGGGTAAGTAGTGAGTTTTAGGCTAGAACAAGTTTTCAAAGATAATCTATCCCTTATATCTCTCTGCAATGAAAACTACTATGTAGTAGTATCACTTATATAGGGCAGAAACTCATATAATCAACTCCTAATCAGACTTCTTGGATATTTTTCTCTGGTAAACTGAGAAGAACAAACACATGTGTAGATACCAATGGAGAAACCCAGTAGGTAGAGACTGGTTCATGACATTTTAATATGAGGCTATGTTTTGGAGAACAGTAGTTTTCCTTTGTGACGTTGCTGTCTGTGGTTTCACTTACCTAATTCTATTCCTACAAAAACATGTATGACAAGACATTCTGAGAGATCATGTTTATATATCAGTATAGTTATATATAATTGCTTTATTATTGTTCAAATAACAACTCAATAATAGCACTTATTGTTAATCTCAAACAGTTCATAATTTATAAACTTTATTATAGTTACATATGCACTGAGGACTTGGTACTACTATTCTTAGTTTCAGACAAAATAATAGAGGACCTGGTACTATTCTTAATTTCAGGCATAACTGGGATCGTAGAACATATCCAAGGGGATTATAAAGAGGGATTATTATACCTAATTTCAAACTGTGTTCTAATTAGTGAATTTCAAAGACATTTTTAAACATTTGTATGACAGGATTGCTTAGAATTCGTAATTATATAATTTTAATAACTTAATTCTGATTTGAAAATAAACTATACTGTTACATTTATCTATAGCTAGCTGTCCACTGTCCACTGTCCTCCCACTGCTCATCGATTTGCTCGACCGGGCCCAGTAATGTCTTCATTGTGAGACTTGCTGTTACTGTGTTTGGCATATAGAATACATCACGGGTAGCTTGCCAGGCTTTGCTGTGCAGGCGAGATACTCTCAGTAGCTTGCCGGGCTCTCTGAGAGGGGTGGAGGAATTAAACTTGGGTCAGTCGGGTCATTTAATTACATGCAACATGCCTGGATGATAAGCTCTCTAATAATTCTATAAATTCATACAGAAATCTTCAGTTTCTTTTTAGAGTAAACATCATTTTATTCATCATTATACTTGTGTTTGTTTAGTAGAAAGAAAATACTCACCCCAAATGATTCACCAATTGATACTAAGATTCTGTCAAGTTAAGATAAATTTCAATTAGTAATAAAAACAATTTGCAACTGAGAATAATATGAATATACACACATTACTCTGACCTACTGAATGGGAAATCAAAGGTGTCCTCTACGTCTGGAACACTAATTATACTTATTTCACAGTCTTATCTAACAGTGCTAGTGGAGTCATATATTGTGCTGGTCTTTACACTTTAAAAGAAAAATTTAGCTTTAGCCCTACTAAATTCTCCATAAATCAAGTTACCCACTAGAGACAGCAACTAAAAATTCTTTTACATTTCACATGAAAATTCAAGTGATGAAAGACAGAAGATAGTACCACAGTTCGAGATAGGTCTATAGTGTACACAGTGCCAGGATTTCATTCCTGGCACCACATGATCCCGGAAGTATCACAGGATGCAGCCCCGGAGGTCCCCAGTACTGGCAGGGTAGTGCAGAGATATAGAGCAACATCACATCCTCAGACCCTTGCAATGAACTGCCAGTTCGGTTGGCTGAGAATCACCAGAGGGGTCAAAGAGTACAGCAGGTTAGGTGTTTACCTTGCACCAAGCTGATCCAGGTTTGACCTCATGTGGTCCCCAGTGATCCTTGAATCAGAGCCAGGCGTGTAAGCTCTCAGCATAGCCAGGTATGCCCTTCCCTACTCCCAGAAAATAAATAAATAACCCAACCTATAAAGCTTCTTAAGTTTTGGCATTCTTCAAACTGGAGATTTACTGCTTTCCACTTGAGATTGTGTTCTCAGCACTTTCCCTTCTGGGGAATCTCTCTCTCTCTCTCTCTCTCTCTCTCTCTCTCTCTCTCTCTCTCCCTCTCCCCTTAACTGCTCTAAATAAATATCTCTAAATAAAACTATTTTACTTTACTAAAGAGAGAGAGAATCACTGTGGATCTCCAAAGCATCTCGAGAGACCCACCACTTTCCCTCCAAAAATTCAAGTTTCAAAAATATATTCAAGATACTTTTAGCAAAACTTATTGTACTGAGTAATGATCAGAATTCTAATTACAATGTGTAGTGGTAGAGAGCAAGTGCCATATATCATACTCCTAAAATTAGAAATCTCTACTTTAACTGTAACTTTGTCCGAGTTTGAACCGTACAATTTACTTTTTTGAAAATAAAGTAGAAGAACAGATTAACCTGTTGTTACAAAACTTTGGCCATATATATGACAGTATTATTATAGAGCAAGGTTTTTTGTCATGCTGCAATCCTTTGCTAGACCATTATTCTATAAGAATATGATTGAACATTATTTATATAAAAATATACATATGATTAACCAGAATATGCTGAACAGAGTTAAAATGTTCTCCTAACACCTAATCAAAACTTTATCAGGATTTTCAGAATGTGACATTTTAGCTAAAGAGCCTCAACTCAAAAGTGATTTCACCAACATCAATAAATAGCAGCTATTTTCAGCATAATATGGATTAATTAACATCATTAAAATTACCTAAGTATACATTTCATATGATGGTGTGAGACTGCATAAAATAAGGGAAGATGGCATAGAATTTTAGTAGCTTACAGAGTTGTAGCACACAGATACTCAGCTATTAACACCAAATAAACAAAGACTAGTACAGGGTTATATAGGAGCACTTATGTAGTTTGCCAATTACTTTTAACTTTATATTTTTCTATAGAGTTTGAAATCTTTAGAGCACATTACTTATATAATTAAAAATGCCACAGATGGATATTTTCTAATCAGTTAATATATCCCTTTCTCCTTGTGTGTTTTTCTTGCCCATTAAAGTACAACTCTATGGGCTGACAATGCTGAGATTAGACTACATTAACTAGTTAATATGCCTCCCACTTTATAAAAATAAAATCTGTCTCAAATAGCCCATGATAACTTTAATTAAGTCAACTGAAGTACTTCAAAGCCAAAGAGCACTTGTGGTAGGATGTGGAAGATAATATCATGATTTGCAGTTGTATGGAACCTTTCATTTGAGAATTTAAAACAGCTTCACATCATTACAGCTCCTTTCTGAAGCAGAGGTAAAGAATTCACAAGCAGAATTCAGGATGGGCTACTGAAGATTTAATTTACAGTCAGCTGATTTTAATAACAAAGAAAGGTGAATGGATGGGGCCACAACAAAGAATCTGTGAACATCTGATGAACTATAGAATAAAATTATTATATTTTTTTGACTTGCCAGGGATTGAACCCAGGTATCATGCATGTAAGGTAAGTGCTCTACCACTAAGGCACATCCTGGTCTAGAAAAAAATTCTTAATCAAAGATTATCTTTGTTTAGCAGATTGATTATTTACTTAAAATCCATTACCAAATTGGTTCTCAAATTGTTCTCACAAAAGAACAGATGCAGAAGTTACAAAAGTTTTAATTAGAAAAAAATTTTCCATAATAGATATTATCTACCCCCAGTCTCTGAAAAATTCTTATGTCACTTAATATAAACTAAAAAAAAAAATCAAGGAGCTGAATATAGCTTAAATGAAACTTCAATTTTTTTGCTTTAATCAAAATAATCCCCATTTATTTTACACAAACCTTGATCTTGGAGTCATTTTTGTTGGTGTTGGCAGACCTTCTGAAATTTTATATGGGTTTTTTAGGGGTGATATATAGATATTCCCCCCAGGAATCCGCAAAGGTGAACTAGAAAAATTGTAAGGACTGCGAGGAATGTGAGGTATCGGAGACAAGGCAGGAGGCTAAGGCAAAAACAAAAAAATAGATTATTTAATGTTTTATTGAAATCCATAGTTTTTCAATTAGGCTTTCCCAGTCAAAATATACTTTTAACATACCCGTGTAGAAGCATACTGTAAAATATTTGTTTTTAGTCTCTGCATGAAGACTGAGTTATAGAAAACTATAATGGAGTCATATTCCTCTTCTCTGATCAAAACACGTTTGAATGTCTGGAGAAGAATAAAAACACTTGTCAAGTGAATTTGAGAGTTTATTTCTTTAAAATTTTTCTTCTGTGCAGGACAGTTTAGGAGGAAGAAGCACATATCTATATGGGCATGCCCATACATGTACATGCAAAGGCTTATAATAAAGCACTTATTACAGGGATATATTATTTCTTATTAATTTAATAATATTTAGAAAATAAAGTACCTTAGTTTTCCAATTCCATTTCTATTTCAAATATAAACCAGTAATAGTAAAAAACTGATATGAACATTTATAAGGCCAGAATATATAATTAATAGTTATTCATATTATAGATATAAGTATATACAAAATATATTGCCATGGAAAATTTCTTACCTCCTGAACAGCATGAGGAAGATCCTTATATGCTGTTACAATAATTTTGAACTTAAGATCTATATTCTTCACTTTGCATATACCATACATGGAACACATCATAATCTAATAAATAAATGTGACATTAAAAATAGAAACAAAAAACAAGATTATTTCATTTAAATACAGTGAATATTTATTCACTATGGTATATCAACACAATGGACTACTACCAAGCCACCAGAAAAAATGAAGTCATGAAACTTGCTTATACATGAATGTTCATGGACAGTATCATGCTGAATGAAATGTGTCAGAGGGAGAGGGAGAGAAACAGAATGACTTGTGGGATATAAAAAAAATAAGAGTATGAGAACAATACCCAGAGACAGTAGAAACGAGGGCCAGGAAGACTGGTCCCTGGTTGGAAGACTGTTACACGTGGGAGGGAGGTGGACAGAGTGCAATTAGGACAGAGAATCCTGTGATCAGTACCATGATACTGAGTTGTAAATAATCACTCTGGACAAGAACTGAGTGCTGAAAGGAGGTATAATATTGTAAACCATAATGTCTAAGAGACAGAGAGGGGTTGGGGAGAGTGAAGAGTGGGAGGAAAAGGGTCTGTTACAGAGGCAGGCTTGGGGTTGGGGAAGGCAGGAGAGAAACTAGGGACACTGTTGATGGGAACTGTGCACTGGTGAAGGGACCGGGATGGATGTTGGAAGATCTTATGACTGATCTCCAACGATGAACAACTTTGTATCTGTGTGATTCAATTTAAAAAAAAAAGGGAGGAGGATACATTTTTTCCTTCAGAAAAATAAATAAACAAACACAGTGAATAGGCGAATCTATACAGACAGAAAGACAAGGTTAGTTTCCTGAAACTAGAGAGGTGAGAGTCTAGGTGTGGGGTGAATGATAAAGGTTATGGGGTTTCTTTTAGGCAAGACAAAATGTTTTTAAATGGATAATGGTGATTACATAATACTTTGAACATATTAAAAACTCTGAATTATGCACTTTAAATAGGTGAGGTGTATAATATGTAAACTATATCGCAATAAAGTTGTTATCTACATATACTGTTTATACCCATTTACAGAGATGAAAAAGACACATGACTGTGCTCTGTAAATTAATTCATCCATTCGTTTATGCATTCATTCAATAGGCACTATTTTAATTTTAGATAAGATAATTTGAATTTTCATACTTTTTCAACTAAAATAAAACCTAATTTATCATCACAAAGATGTTTATAATAAGTAGTTTCTTCAGGAATTTTTATAAGTAAAATTACTGAAGTGGATTGCTCAAGCAGGCCCAGTAACATCTCCATTGTGAGACTTGCTGTTACTGTGTTTGGCATATTGAATACGTCATGGATAGCTTGCCAGGCTTTGCCGTGCGGGCGAGATACTCTTGGTAGCTTGCCGGGCTCTCCAAGAGGGGTGGAAGAATCAAACTCGGCTCGGCCGGGCTGGCTGCGCACAAGACAAATGCCCTACCGCTTGAGTCCTAAAAAACTCTAATTTGTAAGAACTACAGAAAAAAATATAAAAGGTAGCCAACATATGAATAAATATTAAATCTACTAACCCATCAACATATAAATAAATACTAAATCTACTAAACTGATCCACCTTTCATTTGACTCTAATCTTTTCCTAAGAAATTAACACACTAGGTCCAGAGGACAGTGCTTTAGCTCAGTGGCTAAAAATACCTACTTGCTTTTAGATGGCTGTGAATTTAAACCCCAGTGCCACCCACATGTATAGCTAGGTATGTGCTCAAACCACAACTAAAGTAGATAGTTCTGGCAAGTACCCCAACTAAAGAAGTGTGAACACTGTGGCCTGAGTGCAGCTTCCTGTGAGTGTATGTGTGAGCACTACAGTGATTCCAGGTGAGTGTTACAACCAGAACGTGTGTGATTACCATAAATAAGTGGTGCAACCTTTGCAAGTATGTGTGCAAGCGCTGTAACTAAATGTGTGCAAACCTCAGAAGTCATTATGGCCAAGTGTGTGAACATCACAACTAAAAGTATAAGATCCCAGACATTGTAGCAACAATAGCAACAGAAGGAAAAAAGAAAAAAAAAGAAAATAAATTCAGTCTGCAGATAAATATGTAGTGAGAAAAGAAAAGGAAAGGCCATACCTGGTCCAAATGCCTGTCTCTCATGAGTTCATATTCATTTTGCAGAGTGTGCTGAAAAAGGGTCCAGATGATATGTTCTAGTTCTGGGTGGTTGGAGAGAAGGCGTGCACACAGGGTATTGAGTCGAAGATATGCTAATCGATAAACTGAACAGATAAGGGGAATTAGTCACTTTACCATTCATTCTGAACTCAAGTAAACATTTCCAAATTACTTTAACTATAATTCTGTAAAAAACAGCATTTTAACAGTAATGTCACCTCTATCATTTCTTATAAATAAATGATTCCTAATTTTAGCACAGAACTAGACTCATCACGATCACGATCATCCTGTTGTTCATCGATTGCCTCAAGCAGGCCCCAGTAATGTCTCCTTCGTGCTACCCCTGGGATTTTAAAAAGTGCCAAATTCGAGGTTCTTTCAGGGTTAGGAGAATGAGACCCATCATTGTTACTGGTATTTGGCATATTGGGTACGCCACGGGGAGTTTGCCAGACTCTGCCGTGTGGGCAGGTTACATTCAGTAGCCTGCCAGGTTGTCCAAAGTAAGAATGAGATTTTGTTACTGGGGGGGGTGAACCCAGGCCTTCACACGTATAAGGCGAGGGCTCTACTGATGAGCTATATTCTAGTAATTATTGAATTAATTATGCTGCATGGAACTGAGGCAAAAGTAGAAGAGAAAAATGACAGATAATTTATTTTGATGACAGATACTTTGAAATTAGATAAAATAAAGGTTGTGTCAGTTCTGTAAGTAATCATTCGTCCAAAATTGGAATTTCTTACAGTATTAAAGAGGAATTACTACTTTAAAAAAATGGAATTACCTATGTGTATTAATTTTTTCAGTTCTAAAATCAAAAGTAGCATTTTCTCTATAAATACTGACAAAGTATGGTAGACTAGCAGATTACCTAAATCGTAGCATGACTATGATGTAAAATTTGATAGAGAATCACACAACTGAACTTTAGTCCATATACTTCTAATATGCAGACCGTTGGTTTAAATGTATTTTTCATTTTTCAAAGATTTGCATAAAGTACTCAGAATTTTAATTTCACTTTTTTCATTGATGTGGAGCCATACCAGGCAGTGCCCAGGGCTGAGAGTCACTCCTGGTGGTATCCTGGTGATATCACTGTGATCACTGTGTGTGTGTGGCAGGGGGGACACATGGAAACAAGGATTGAATACAGAAATTTGTATATTCAAGGTATGTGCTTTACTGAGTCATATCCCCTGTAAGCCCCTAATAAGACTTTATTTTTTTTAAAAAAATGTATCCCTCTGTGCTCAAATGTTAGCAGGCATCAGATTTGCCTGCAAGATTTGTTAAAACAAAGATTTCTGGACCTAATCCTGGAATTTCTGGTTAAAATATTTCTAAGGTAAAAAGCAAGAAAAATTTTCTGTAACTTTTCAGGTGAAGTGAATTCTGCTGGTTAGCAACCACAATCTGGAATCACTGCTCTAACTTCATTGCTATCTTAGGATATATCTGTAAAGTTTCATATATTTCAATTGGAAAAAAATTAAAAAGAAGAGTTACCACAAGACACAGAGGGATAGTACAGTGGATAAGGTGCTTGTCTTGCACGTGGCCAACCTGGGTCTGATCCCTGGCACCCTTTATAGTCCCATAAGATTGTCAGGAGCGAACCCTAAGTGCAGAGCCAGGAGTAAGTCCTGAGCACAGCTGGGTGTGGCTCCCAACCCCTACCAAAAAACCCCTGAAATGTCATAGAAGAATCTGGCTTTTCATTGTCCTCAAATAGCTCCCACAAATGAACCCTTGCATGTATACTAATCTGATCCTACAACACATACTAATACTATATATTATATACTATGTACTAATACTAATATTAGTATGTGTTATAGGATCAGATGAATATCAGATCAATAAAGGTAAAAAAAAGGTAAAGGCCCTCCCGTTGATCGTCGATTTGCTCGAGCGGGCCCAGTAACGTCTCCATTGGAGACTTTGTTGTTACTGTGTCTGGCATATCAAATACTCTCGGTAGCTTGCCGGGCTCTCCAAGAGGGGCGGAGGAATCGAACTCGGGTCGGCCATGTTGGCCGCGTGTAAGGCGAACGCCCTACCCACTGTGCTATCGCTCCAGGCCAATATCAGATAAATATATAACATATAGAATATCAGATAAATATATAAGATATAGAATGCTATATATCCTGTTAGCAGTAAATGCACCTCCACTAGATCACAGCATACTGTAAAATCGCAAACATTACTTTTTTTTTTATGTCAGGAGTAATGTCAGAAGCAAATACTTATGAACATTAATTTGAAAGCATAATAATAGTGGTAGCAGCAAGGATACTAAAAATTTTCTGTATTTTATGTCTTAGACCTCGTTGTAAATATTTTGTTTGATTTTTTTATTGGGAGGCCCATATCCAGAGGTGCTCAGTAAACTGTAGTCATATCTAGTCAGGCTACACCTGACTCTGCTCAGGAATATTTAAGTTGCTTGGGGGACCATATGGGTTGCCAGGGATTGAACTAGGGTTGGCTATATGCAAAGAAAATGCCTTATCCCCTGTACTGTGTCTCCAATCCATACTTCTGCCTTTTCTTTTTAGGGACATGGGGCAACGGGACAGATGCACCACATCCAGTGATGTTTGGATGCTATTCCTGTCTCTGTGCTCCCGTGGGGGATACCATACATGGTACCAGGTATATGAACCAAGGTTATAGTCACCACAGATGTATGTAAATCACTGCAGCTCTCTGCAGCTCTGGAAGCATTTTATGCATTATTTATTTAACTATCTCAAAAACACTACATGGTAAAGAATTATAAATATAATTTTCATTTTATAGATGAGGAAGCCAAAGCACAGAATTATTACGTGACTTTCACAGGATCATACTTTTTGTGCAAAATAGTCATAATTTGAACCCAGTTAGTCTTGTTTGAGAGTCCATGCTTCTGCAAGTAATCATCTACTTACCTTTTTTATAAAAGAGTGAAAGGGAGGTAGGTTTCAAAGGTTTCTGTGTCTGGAGTGCTGAAGTTGCTTGAGCCTCTGCATTTGCAGTAGAATTTAAACGTGTAGTTGACCCTTTTTTCTTTGGAGATTTTATTGGAGAAAGATACCTGGACATATTCAAAGAAAAAAATACTTCGTTAAGTTTACTAAGAATCTCTATCACTGTTTCTGTCTCTCTCATACACAAAGCTGAATGCATACATCTTGCCTATTTAAATGTTAATTTGTACTGAAATCCTTTTAACAGGAAAAATAAGTTTGTTGTTAACTTTCTAATTCAACTTCAATAAACAGTTACTCCTCAACTGAGTATTTTTAAGAAATAATTTTGTATTTATGTATGTTCATTTTCAGTAATAATAGTGAGATTGAGATATGACTACAGTTTATAAGAGCAGGGTTTTGACATCAAATTAGCACTGCCATATTTTTCTCTTATTCTCTTCTTAAAATTTTTTATTAATACGGTTCATACATGTAAGACTTAAGTTACACACGCAGGCACATAAACCCCTAAATTATTTAATACAGAGTTCTATTACTTAACACTTTAGATATTATTCAGGCTTATTTATACTTATATGCCAAGTTTAAAGCAAAGGTATTAGTGGATATTACCTGATAGGTCCTACTATTCTGTGGCACCTACTTTATCATCCGGGTCTACTTTTTTTTAATTGTTTTTTTTTTAATTGAATCACAGTGAGATACAGCTACAAAGTTGTTTATGATTGGGTTTCAGTCATTTAATGTTTCAACAGAGGTCCCTTCACCAGTGAACATTTCCTACCATCAATGTCCCCAAGATTCTCTTCTGCCCTGCTCCCCACCTCTATGGCAGGCACTTTTATTCTCTCCCTCTCCCCCTGACTTCTGTCTCTCTCTTTCCAATCTCTCCTCTATTCTTTCTTTCTCCTCTTTCTCCTCTCTCTTCTTTTTCTCTCTCCTTTCTCCTCTCTGCTTTCTTCCTCCTCTCTGACTTCTTTCTCTGCTCTTTCTCCATTTTCTCTCCTCTATCTTCGCTTCTCTCTCTCTCTCTCTCTCTCTCTCTCTCTCTCTCTCTCTCTCTCTCTCTCTCTCCTCTTTCTCCTCTCTCTCTTTCTCCACTCTCTTCTCTCATTTTCCTTTTGGGAATTTGGTTTGCAATATAAATACTGAAAGGTCATGAGGTACATCCCTTTACTTACTTCTAGCACTCAGTTCCTGTCCAAAGGGACTATTTCCAACTATTATTGTCTTATTTGTCCCTTCTCTAACTGCTCTTTGCCCTGTCCCCCCCCCCCCCCGCCCCCGACACACACACACACACAGTGGCAAGCTGTGTGTCGTCCTGGCCTGTTTATCCTGTCTTTGGATATTTGTCTCATCAGGTCTACTTTCTAAGTTTTAGGAGCTAAAATCATTCTTATCAGGATGGAGGGTCTGCTTCTTACCATGGTGCTTCCAATACATGTACTATGTTAACAAATATACCAGGAAAAGGGAATCACCATAAAAAATAATTTTGTAAATACCAGGTTAATAATCTATCAATCTTGAATTTTCCTTCAATTCACTAGCAATACTGCAGTGACAAAACTGATTTACTTAGGTAAAAATCTTCCTGGAGTTGTAAGTACACTCATTTCCTTAAAGGAATCACTACCTGAATGTCAAGACTGAAATGCCTAAGAGGACTTAATTTCTTTCTCATTTTTCTTATCTCAATAAAAGACTCCATATTACATCTATTTCTAAGCAAAAAAAAACAAAATTACAGCTTGTTTTTAATTTCTCCCAATTCTTCAAGTCAAAGACAAATCTAAGTCATATCAAACCTATCAAAAAATAATCTCAGATATCTTTTCTAAGCCAAAACTGTAGGTTATTTTTAATTTTTTCCAATTCTTCAAACTGAAAACAATATTAAATCTATTTTTAAAATAATCTCAAAATTTTCATTTCCATTTCCATGAACATATCTTAGACTAAGTCATCAATATCTCTCCCTTCAGTCATAGAAAAAAATTTCCAAACTGCTTTCCTATGCTCTTCTGTGCCCTGTCGTACCTTCCGTATTCAAACCTCACCTGAATGTCCAATAGTAGCCAGAGAATGGTTCTTTTAAAAATACAAATTCTAGCAAGCTACACCCTTGCTCAACACTTTAATGCTTTCTAACAGCCATCCTTAAATCCATTTTTTTTGCAGCCTAATTAAATTTATAAGGGTTAGTCTGTGTTAATTTCTCCAACCTCCACTTAAACCTCTCTCTTTCTCCTTTCTTTCTGCTCACTTTTCTCTAGACTAAGATTTCCTTTTGTTCCTCATACCAGCCAGATTAAATTGGCCCTAGGAGCTACTCTTTGTTGTTTACTCCACCTGGGACATCACATAGATTTTTGCCTTGACAGTATCCAATCATTATTGAGGTCTGAGGTGAAATATAACATCAACAGAAAAAGCTCCCAAAATATTATATCACCTTTAATTTTTTCTTTCACCTATTTCCTTCATAGAACATCCTATGCTCTAAAATCAGTTCATGCGCTACTTTACTTGCTCACTGTCTACTTCCATGCCCCAGCATATAAGCTGTATGAGGGGATGAGACCTAGTTGATCTTACCTGGCTTTGTTCTCAGTGCCTAAGATACTACTACTTCAAAGACAAATGCTTATTAAGTTAATGAACTGATATGGTGACACTTCAACCAGTAAACAATGATAAACATAAAGGCAGGGTCTTCTTATGCTAAAAATACTTTGGTGTATATTAGCATGAAAATGACATTTCTGGAAAGTTGTCCCTAAACACTAATTACAGAACAATACCATGTCAATTCCAATTTAGAATTAAACAAGCACAAGAGGCACATTTCTTATAAAGCAATGTAGCTAGAGTGTTTTGGGTTTTTTCTGTTTGTCTTGGGGCACACGCAGCAGTGCTCAAGGCCTACTCCCAGCTTCATGTTTAGAGATCACTCCTTGCAGTGCTTAGGGGACTATATGGGATGCCAAGGATCAAACCCGAGTCAGCTCCATGTAAGGCAATCACCCTAGCTGCTGTGCTACTGCTCCACCCCCAGTGTAGCTAGAGTATTAAAGAGCATATGTTTTTAAAAGATCAGATACATTTCTGTTCACTTTTAGCAAAATATTACTCATTTTGGCAGTAAGGTACTTATGTCTCTAATGCCTATTTCATAAAGTACAGAGTCTGGCAGCACTGTTTACTAGCTCAGAGAACATAAAATAAATAAAAAATAATCTGCAATTATTCAGCAGTTACAGAACTGTGAACCCTCCACGAATCTTAAGTGAGGGTTTTGGCTACTGCTTTCTTTCATCAACATCACTAATTAAAGTCTCATAAGAATATGACATTCGTACTCCCCTATGCATTCTAAGCTTCATCCCAAATACCTGATATAAAAATGCCTCCACTTTTCTGGTTGTTGTGCTTTTTACGGTTCATGTCGTTCAAGATCTTACTTTTCTGTTTCTTCCCCACCTTTCCAGTTTCAATGCTGAATCCTATATCATCTTTAAAGTCTATCTAAATGACAATCTGTCTTAAAATTACACTCATTACAGTAGTACTCCATACCAATTCATATGACCTTTATCTGGGTCATCTTAAAGTTCTGCTTATCAAAAACAAATTTAATGTTTCACTCAAATTTCATTCTCGACAGCTTCTATATAGTGGCTTACTAATGCTCAAAAATATTTTCAGATTAAATGTAGAATATAACAAATGTCTGCTTACATATCTGCTGCAGTGTGATTATTCTGTAAAGGAAGGCTGAGATTACAAGCAGATTCAAGGTGGTCAGCTGGTCCTTCCCGGTCTTTTGCTTGTTTAATAAGATCAAATAAAGGTGAATCCTATATGAAACAAGATGACATAAAAGTTAATATGAACTTACACGTATGTTTCAAAATCTTATTTTATTTAGCAGCACTATAAATTTGGTCATACTCGTTAGTAGCAATAAGTCAGAATGAGGTCCTTTTCTCCATTTTGAAAATACTAATTATCAATTTTTATATAATACACACAAAAACAGGATTACAAAACTATGCAACTGTAAATACTTACATTCTGAAAGAAATTAAGTTAGAAAAGACATGGAAAATGCCCAAAGAAAGCAGAAAAATCCAAAAGATATGAGAAAATAATAATGAAACTCAGAACTAAGGTCAAGTACATAGTTTGATGAATAATTGGGTATTGGAAATTACTAACAAAATTAAACAAAACAGTCATATTGACTAAGAAAAAAAGGTTATACCACATTAGGAATAATTAGGACTATCATCACAAATATCAGAAAGACAGATTATTATGAATAATTTTATATAGATACATGGAAACCATAGACCAAATGGAAATTTACTATAAAATAAAAATAAATAAATTAGCAAAATTCACCCTTTCTCTATTTTTATTTTTTTGTGGGGGGGGGGGTTGTTGGTCCACACTCAGTTGTAGGATAACACTGTTTTGTTCTTCCTTGCATAGCCTCAGGCTGTTTAGGTTTATTGGGTTGCTCCCATCACAGTGCTCCCATTCCTTTGTGTTTATTTGTAACTTCTTTGTGTTCAGGCGACTTGTAAATATTGTTTTTCTCTTCTTGTTGACTTGTAAATACTGTTTTTCTCGGCTCCCTAAATCCTTTGCATAGTTTATTCAGAGAAATGTCCTTTTTGTATGGACACAAGAAGATAGTATATGCTATGCTTTCATAATGTGACTCTGTTATTTTCCTTTTGGGCAACTGTTCTCTCAACCTAACCCTCAGCTGCCCTTACTTCCTAGCAACCCCAAAAGCAAGGTCCTGTCGAGAGATTGGATGGACCCAGGGCAAGCAGTAAGTTAGGTGCTACCCTGGCATCGAGATGAGCCTGGCCAAAGTGCCACAATGCTTAACTATAAGTTAAGAGCTTGATCATGGACAAATGCTGTCATGATCCAAAAAGTAATAATTAGACTTGGACCCTGCTAGGGTTAGGAATGATTAATCTGGCCTGAACACTGTAGTCTGAGTCTGCAGCAAGATGTTCCCAGGAGAGCTGCCCTACAACCCTCAATGCATCTTTTACTTTGTCCATACAAAAATAACTAATATTAACATATTGATAGAATTATTGGACTGAGGATAAGAGAAAAACACCTTAAGAGGTATTCTGCCCCTGGGCAGTCAGGAAGGGCTTTGGAATACCCCAGGTGATGTTTTCTCCCTTAAGCTTGGATATCAGGAGGGGCTTTCTTATGCTGATTTGGCTACATGATTGGGTGCTGTTTTGACCCAGAGTGCAAGGAACTGAAGAGACAAGAGAGCTGGAGGAAGGAAGAAAGGAGAGAGGAGGAGAAAGAGCAGGGCGGCAAGATGGGCCATGGAGAGACTAGCTAGAGGGACTGAGAGAGAAGGATGTAGAAGAAAAATACAGGAGCAGGCACGTGGAGAGAGAGAGCCCAGGCTGCGAGATGGAGTGTGGAGAGATAAGCGAGAGAGACAGGAGGAGACAGGACTGAGCGGCAGTGTGAGATTAGAATGGGAGGCTCAGAGACTGGGGCAGGTGTGTGGAGAGAATGGAATAAACAGCAACTGACCAACCATTTGGCCCTCATTTAACCCTCCGTCTGCCCCATGGCTCGGGCCGCCCCGGCTGGGTGAGCAACTCAGGCTCCCCCGAACCTGGGCGGCTAGGGGAAGAGCCATCAGGGCCTCTCCCTGGCCGCCCCCTGGATATATTTTACACCCAGTGGTGCTCAGAACATATTTTTGGCTCTGTGCTCAGAAATTACTATTGGAGGAGCTTGGGGAATTTTATATGGGGCATCAGGATCAAACCCAAGTCAGCCATGTGCAAGGCAAGCACTCTACTCACTGTACTATAGACTAAGCAAAACTCAATCCAAAAAAGAATTAACTAATAGTTCTATGAACTGTTAATGAATATGAATCAGAATTACAAGCTTGCCCACAAAGAAAGGATTAACTCTCCTAGACTTTCTAATTCTACTTAATAATTAAGGAAATGAAAAATTCCACTTTCACTTAACTCTTCTAGAAGGGAAAAATAAGATATAACACATTTCATTGTATAGTATAACACTGTTAGTACAACATTGATACTAAAAGCTTCCAACGACATTACAAAAAGGTATAATCACTGTTATTGTCCTCCAACTGTTCATCGATTTGCTCAAGCGGGACAAGTAACAACGTGAGACTTGTTACTGTGTTTGGCATATCGAATACATCACGGGTAGCTTGCAAGGCTTTGCTGTGCGTGTGGGTAAGATACTCTTGGTAGCTTGTCGGGCTCTTGGAGAGGGGTGGAGGAATCCAAGGTGGAGGAATTGAACTTGGAAGAATCCAACTCAGGTCAGCCCGGTTGGCCGAGTGTAAGGCAAACGCCCTACCCGCTGTGCTATCGCTCCAGCCCAAAAAGGTATAATATGGTCCATTATAATTTATGAACAGAAATGTAAAACTCCTAAACAAAATACATTACCAGTTTAAATATGTAAAAATGTGCAAGAGGGAGCGAGTGAGCAAAATAGTAGGAGGCTAGAATCTTTTTTTTTTCTTTTTTGCTTTTTGGGTCACACCTGGCGATGCACAGTTACTCCTGGCTCTACACTCAGGAATTACCCCTGGCAGTGCTCAGGGGACCATATGGGATACTGGGAATCGAACCCGGGTCGGCCACGCGCAAGCCAACGCCCTACCCGCTCTGTTATTGCTCCAGCCCCTGATAATCTACCATATTAACAAGTGTTTATTCAGCTTGTAAGACTGGTTCAAAATTATGAAACTGAAATGTAATCATTTTACTAACAAATGTAAGGTGAAAAATCTTACCAAAAGTCAATGCAAAGAAAGTTCTAACTTTAAAGCCAACATGTAATTGACAATGGGCTGGAGTGATAGCACAGCAGGTAGAGCGTTTGCCTTGCATGAGGCCGACCCAAAGGATCTGAGTTCGATTCCTCTGCCCCCCTCTAAGAGCCCGGCAAGATACTGAGAGTATCTCATCAGCACGGCAAAGCCTGGCAAGCTACCCATGACATATTCAATATGCACAGTAACAAGTCTCACAATGGAGACGTTAGGGGCCCACTCAAGCAAATCGATGAACAACAGGACAGTGCTACAGTGCTATGTAATTTACAATAAAAGTTTATATAATGAATACTGAGGATTCAAGGCTGTTTTCTGTCTTTACATCCTTGAATATTTACCTCCATCATCATATCCCGAGGCATGGACAAACTGAAAAATTTTGAAGTTAGATTGGATTTTAGGTGATATTATAAAGTTGTTTATTTTTATTATTTAGAATAATGATATTGTGGTCATGGAAGTAGGTCTTTTTATTTTTGGAAGAGTCATGAAGTGAGGTGAGAATAAAAAGAGCAAATGTCATAGTTTTTTTACCAAAAATACTTCAGTATTTAGCTTAAAATTTAGAAGGCAAATATATTTACATAATTTGTATAATTTTAAGGACTAAGTTTTTTTTAAAAAAAATAAACAGCAGATTATTCACTGTCCTTCTGAACAGAAAATCATGGTAAGCATGAGCAATGTCTATACATTCCTAAATACTTTTTCTTATTCATACAGATTTCAATTTAAATTGCTTCAACAATAATGAAAAGGAATTTACAATGCTGAGATAGTAGTAACAAATGAAAGATCTTTGGCACTTTGACAGTGGTCAAAGTATGGTAAAGTTGTAAACTGCAAGCTTTAACACTAAAGCTTATGTTATGTCACCTAAACAACAAAAAACTTAGAAGAGAATAACAAGTTACAATAATAAAAAAAAAAACCTAGCAGGGCTAAACAGAGGTACAGAGATGTTAATGATAGTAATAAAAAGCCAAAAAGTCATTGGTTTACATTATGTGTGATCTCAAATTGTTTCCAAAGCTTACTACTTAATAGTAGTAAGGTATACTGGCTTGGCTCAAATTCCTTAAAATCAACAAGCTTTTTGTACTATTGTTATGCACATATTACCACTTGTAGAGATCATGAACCGGTTGTCATTTGACTTGTATAATCCTATGCAGGTTCAATCCCCAGCACCACATACGCTCCCATGAGCAACAACAGGAATGAGCCCTGAGCACAGAGGTAGGAGTAAGCCTACAGCACTATCAAGTGTGCCTGCCCCCACCCCACCCCCAAACCGTCCATGTATCACAGATACTGATCTGTGGTTTTCTGTCTGTAATCTTTGGTTTTGGTAACAGAATAACATTGGCCTCAATTTTTTTGAGGAGCTTGAGAAGGATAGTTTATTTCTGAATGTTTTTAGAGCCTACTAGTAAAACCACCTCAACTTGGACTTTGTCTAGGGTAAGATTACTGGGCTCTTCAGGTTTTATATTTCCTCATGATTCAGTTTTCAGAGGCTTTGTGATTTTAAAAAATTATCAAAATTGTCTAAGTTCTCAACATTAATGGCATAAAGTTCATACTAGTCTCTTACATATATATGCATTTCTGTAGTATCTGTTATTTCTCTTCTTCTTTATGAGCCTAGGTATATAAGAATTTGTTGATTATGTTTATTCTGTCAAAGAATCAGCTTTTGGTTTCATTTCTGTTACCTTTTACTTTTTTTTTTTTTTGATGAGCAAACATTTTTATTAGTGAAGCACCATGAGGTACAGTTGTAGATTTACAAATCTTTGTGCTTGGGTTTCGGTCATACAATGATCAAATACCCATCCCTCCACCAGTGCCCATTTTCCACCACCATGGATAATATTCCTCCCCACCCCCTTCCCACCCTGCCTCTGTGGCAGGGCATTCCCCTGTGTTCTCTCTCTCCTTTTGGGTGTTGTGGTCTGCAAAAGAGGC